ACTGAGTAGACAGGTGGGTTGTTAGACTGATGCTATGAAGACTCTGACTTGTATGTCCCATTGCGCATGAGCAAATGCTTGGGTCACAGGACATGTGCGGCTTCATCCTCATTCTCTGCCGTCATGTTTGTGGGGAAGCCTCGCTCTCCTTTTTCTTTCCTAAAGGAATTTGACTTCTGTGCTTCTGTTCTTTTTTCTTGCCTTCACTTGTCAGCCTTACATTCCTGTTATACGCTATCAGTACCGGCTTCCAGCCCTGCACACACTTTCTTCTGCACTCAAGGCTCCCTCTCCCGAGGGGTACTACCCCCCCCCCCATGTATTACTCAAGTAGGAAGTGCATTTGGAATATGCTGAGAGTTATTTTGAACATACACAAAACAAAGTACGAATTTGAGAGACAGGGCAGGAGCAGGCCTCTTTCTGGAAGGTGATACAGGATGAGAATTAGGATTATGGTTTTCTAAGCTACCACCTGCTGCACTTTGTCTTAGTTCCCTTATCTGTATGGAGCAGGGATAATAATTATACCCACTTACAGTGTTTCTGTGCGCTTTACATGAAACAATGTGTTACTTTGATTATAACAGGTTTATAAATTAGGGCTTCAGACAGGAAGAGGAAATAGGCAGCATTCAGAATGCCTTCAGGTTGCACAGAGGAAAATACACCATAATATGCACCCAATGTTTACACTGAGCTCAAACACTGTCTGCCCCACTCCTCCTGGTGGGGTGGTTGGATAGGGTAGTTATGTGGCCACAGAATACACAAAGTGAAATGTATTGGTCCATTTGGAAATCAAACCCACAACCCTGGCTTCATGCTCTACTCACCTGAGTTCAGTGGCCAAAACCACCATGGAGGAGGAGGAAGTAAATGGGCAGCAAGAGGACACCAGAGGCGAACTCTAACGAACAAGCTGCTCTGAATGGCATTCTCTCTCTGTACAATCTCACTGTACAGGAGAGCTGGCTGGAACAGAAATCGTTCCTAGTCAAAGAAACCACATCCTAATTTTCCTTATCCTATAGGCTCTCCACATGCAACTCCACACTTTGTCACTTAGTTGCTGGGTTTGAAGAGAGTTGTCCAAAGACAGATCCGTAAGTACAGGTGCAGCGTTTCAGGCACACCTCGTTACCTAGTTAGGGAGCTGAGAGCTTACAAGACAACTTCTCTAGAAAACCACTTATGAAGGCAGGCTTGTTTTGGCTCATGGTTTTGGCGGTTCTCAGCGCAGTCCTGGGCAGCCCCACTGCTCCAGCATCTGGCAGTTGAGTTCTCACTGGCCGAGTCCTTAGGTGGTATTCAGCGTCACACGGCAGTGTCCGTGGCCCTCCTTATAGGGCCACCATGATCCAGTCAGGAGCCCCACCCAATCTGATCACTTAAAGGTCCCAGCCCTGAGCACCGTAATTGGGTAGTCCCCCCCCACCCCGCCCCCTTCTTACCACCGTTAGCAGAAGACTTCAGGGAGCGAGCTTTTACCACACGGGCCTTTGAGGGAAAACCAAACTAAAATTCAAGCCACAGCAGAAGTGTTTATCATAATGGCTCTCAAGTTGGTAATGTTCGTTTCAACCTGTCTTCTAATCAACCTTTCTATGAAGATACTGACTTTGGACTCTTAAGTCTCTTACTCCCATACAAAGCTATTTAAATCCAAGAAGACTTTCGAGGAGGCAGCCTTTCCAATATGAAATTTATAGTTAGCCTGAATGTTGACCCTTTAAAGAGTTAATGACTCCTGGATTTTATTTTTTCAGTTCCGAGCCACTAAGTCACTTCACAGTTGAACAAATCCTCCTATTATGCTTCTCTTCAAATAATTCTTGGAAAATGGAGTTTGAGCATATTGTAGGGGATGGGAAAAGGTGGAAGGGAAATTAAGAGTGGTGCTGAACGATTACTGAGTGATGTGGAATGACAATATTTGCCAACTCCTTGTCAACATGGCAAGGCCAGATGGTTTCCTTACAATTTTTTTGTTTCACTAACATCTATCACCTGGCAATATATTGCTACAGGATTGGGCTGATCAATATAATTACTTTGAGACCCTGACTTTTTAAAAGTGAGCAAGGTTGTTCACAAGAAGAAACAATTCAGTCCTATCATTTTCATTTGAATCAGCAGGGTTGGCACAAACCTGGGTAGGGGATTGAAGGGGGCAGGAATGTTTGCAGAGGAGCTAGGTGCCGGCTCCTAGTAAGACGGCACATTCTGTAAGCTCCTGTAGACTGGGAATCATAGTCCCAAATAGCATCAATGGCAGTGAAGAGGAAATTAGGCTGGGACCAGAGATGAGAGAAAAATAAAGATCCCTAAGGAGTGCAGGTGTCCTAATCTTGGTTTTCTGTAAACCCTTGTTCAAGTTCCCTGTAAATGTGGTCTCAGGTTCCTCATGGGTGGTCCTGAATCAAACAGGCTGCAATCAAAACCCACCAATGTTTTAATGGTTAAGGCTTGATGCTGATGAAGTTATAGTCTAAGAAACCTACCCAGATTGGATATCAGTCTGGGGAAGCAATTCTCCTGGGCCTGTCGACGTTAATAAACTTCTGTCCCTCCACACAGCCTCTGACACCTGTTTGAACTAAGGGAACTTCCGCAATCCAGCTTGTGTAACTACAGCATAAATTTGCTGCTCAGAAGCCAACTGGAGCCCTCAAGTTGGGTTTGTCCACCACAATACCAGACATTGTTCTGGCTGGTAATTTTGGTACTGATGTGACAATGACAAGTGTTCTTGGTATCAAATAGAGAAGCCCAGGGAAGAATCTCAAGTGAGAGCAAACAACCTGGTACACAGAGCACTCCTTACCAAATGATCCAATCTTTTGTGGTCTACAGAATCAGCTTCATACAAGCAATGTGGCCTGTTTTGAGATTTACTTCCTATTTGTCTGTTCTCTGGACAGGGAGCCTAATAGTCTGAAAAGTGATTAAGAGTTGGCTCTGAAGACCAACAGCAGCTGCAGCTTCCTCTCCAAAGGTGATCACATCTTAATGTAGCAGAGCTGGGGGCAGCAGTCAGGAAATGGGAGGGAGGGCTTTGTCTGAGGCAAAGGCTTTGGCTTGCTCAGAGTCGCGGATACAGGCTTGCAAATTATAGCTTCTTTCAAACAGTGGCTGTAGGCCACAAATGAAATAATCTGTTAAGACTCATGTGCACCTGGTGGGACAGTCATGAATCTCAAACACCTGGGAGACAGGAGCTTTCTCCCCCCCTGCCACAGCTCTACCTACTCCTTTTGAAAAGTACTGGGATTGGAAGGCCCAGGAACATTTGGATTTAAAAACAAAACCTCCCCATGTGATCGTGATTTGGCTCCCATACCTTTTCAGACTCCAGTAGTGGAAAGAGAACAGGAATGAGTTATTTAAACCTTCAATGTCTACTTACCAAATACTTTCTACTTTATAATGGCTAAGGGGAATGCCAGGCCTCGCCCCAAGAGCTTTCTATGATTCTTACATAATCCCACTCCTCAGACAGGGAAGACTGATTCACAAAAAGTTAAGCAACTTGTCCAGCGACACACAACTAGGGCTTGGGTTTAAAGCTAGGTTCTTTGGCTCTAAAGTTCGTGTTTCCTACCATTATTTATAACACTGTAAAAGAAAGCAACATGTATTTTGAAATATTAAAGGTGCTCTAAGTAGCAACTGGGTTACACTCCTAGAGGGAAAAGTCCGCACCTATGTACTATTTACTATTCACAAACAACTTCACTAAAGGGGACTTAAAAATGGCTACAACTGCTAGGCCTGGTCTGGGCCAGTCTGAGGCCAGGAATCCGAAACTCCATCTGGGTCTCCCACGTGGCTACAGTGGCCCAACTATTTGGGCCATCTTCCGCTACTTTCCCAGGTGCATTAGCAGGGCGCTGGACTGGAGTAGAGCAGCCAGGACTCAAACTAGCACACATATGGGATAGCTGGTGTTACAAGAGGTGGCTTAACCCGTTGTATACAATGCCTGCACCAAAGTGACATTTTTGATGACCTGAAGAATTCTTTGCAGACCAGGTGCCTCACTCAGGCCTTGGCACCCAAGTGATGAACAAATAAATGTTGATTGAATCAAACACCTTGAAATCAAGTGCATTTTGAAATGTGCTAGTCATATTCCACAAAATGGCTTACATGAGTTTAGAATGTCAGAACAGAGAGTGGCTGGGTCAGGGAATGAAAAGAAATTTTGAATAGAACATTAAAACTTTGAGATGAGAACTAGTTATATATTCTTGAAATCCTCTTAGTTTAGCAGAGAAATGGGAGGAATGGCTATTCTTTAATATGCTCAGGTGGGGGTGGGTGTTATCGCAGATTAGGCCACACCTTGGGACACCTACATCCATTATGAGAGTTGCACCTGACACTGAGTACCACCTCCACCTCTGCTTTCAACTCAGCTTCCTGCTAATGTGCTTGGGAGGCAGCTCAAGTGCTGAGCCCTGCCACTCCTGTATTGAGACCAGTCCCAGCTGTTGTGGGCATCTGGGGAATGAGCCAGTGGATGAAACAACTCTAAGTGTCTCTCCCTCTGTCACTCTGCCTCCAAAATAAAAATGAATAAATGTTAAAACATTATGCTCAGGTGAATTTTTGAAAGACCAAATTTCCATTATTCCTTAACAACCCTTCAACCTGTTAGTGTGCAATCAAGAATGGCTCAGAAATAAGTTTTCCTGTTACCTTAGATAAAAGTTACTGTTATGACAAGTTAGTTTGTCTTCCTGGATTCAGATCTAGTAAAGCATTAAACTCACCTAAATTCAACAAAATGTTGGCTCAGCCTGCCTTTAACTTTCAACCAATATCTAAAGAGCTGATACACAATGAAGATTTCCCATGATCCCAAATAATTTAATGAGTAACTCGGTACTTAGGAACAAACATTTTGTTTAGTGCACAAGTAGAAGGTATTACTACTATTTTTTTTTGTAGACTGTTTCTAGATTAATGTAAAATGCTCAGAAAAGGACATCAAATAAGGTAAAAGACTTTATTATTATTCAGGATCAGCTCAAAGTCTGACACTGACACAAGCAGGGATAGTTATTATCTCATTACATTTGACCTTTGGCACCCATTTAAGTACTAGTTTTCCAAGTGGGACATGCTGCACCCACTAGACCCTGGGCACAGTTTCTGACAGTCACGTTTACCCCAATTTCACTCAGTAGTGCTCTTGGATACGCAGGGACAAAACCAACATCATCTATTTATATTGATCGTTTTCTTTTTCATGACATTTTTTTCCTTACTGGCTTTAAAAACAACAAAGTAGCATTATTGGCAGGTATCGATCACAAATAATACCTTCCCATAGCCCAACACTCAAAAACCAAACATCAAATGTAAGTTGAATTCCTAAATATTCAGTTAAGGCCACGGTGCACTTAGTTTTGAACACTGTAATTCTAAAACCTCTCTTTGTTTTCCCTCTTTGGATAAAGCCAGGGAAAATCTATGTTTAATTGACCTATGTGGCCCTGGTTGTTACAAGCTTTAATTTATAAGATCAAAGGAATTAAAGAGCTTCCATAAAAAAACAGGTTTTCAAATCATGACGAAATAGGAATAAAGTCTACACAGCCCTCAGAAATACGGATAAAATGAATCAAATGTTATGATTGCAAGTGGACCCCCTTCCAAGCACAGAGTACATGGAAAGTTCATAAGGCTTCTTTCTATGAAGTTACAAAAGGAAAAAAACCATAAAACAAGGGTTCATTTTGAGATGGTCAATAATACATAATTGTTGTTTAAGATGTCTTGCCCATTAGTTAATTTAGATTTAGTCTCTATATACTCTCTATTAAATATCTAGGGAAAGCACAATGCCTTTTTGTCTCAGGGCTATTCTAAAAGGCTACTGCTTTTTACGTACATGAAGAGAAAGCCAAGATTTATTTTTCAGGTGTGAATATTTAGTTCAGAGCCATCATCTTTTACAAAAAATACCAACAGGAAATCATTACTTTTCTTAAAGTCTGATGTCTTATTTTAAAACAAGTTGTAGTTCCTAGAGAACTGAAGAGTTCTCCAAAAGTCAAATTCCAGCTTCAGTGTGTATGACTGCTGATTTACAAAACCTTTCTCCAGTAAATGGCAAAATCATAACCTCCCATGCAAAAGCTTGTTAAGAAATACGAGAACCTTAAATCTCATATGGAAGGTACTCTGGGAGAAAGATGGATATAGCTTTCTATTGTTGTTCTCCTCATTTCTCCAAAGAGCTGACATTTATCACTGCATTTAAAATAAAGACTTTTAACTCAAGAGATTGTATTTTAACACTAAACCAATATAAATGTACTTATCTGAACATCACATTTTTATATACGCTTTACAAAGAAAACACAAAAGCATAGTGAAAAGATTATATATTTCAAATAAAATTATGCTTGTCTGAGGCAGAACCGATCTAGGGGTCTCCAGCAGATGCCTCAGGGAGGCCTTGCGCTGTGTCTTGCAGACATTTCCCTCTGTGTACAGTTTCATGGTAACAACACTCAGTTTCTTGCCTGCATAAGCTGAGGTGTCAATATTGTAAAGAAGTTGCATAATTTAAAAAGTGAAAATTATTCACTCAAAATGCTACAAAATGACAACTTTATGAAATTTAAACCCAGCATTCACTCTGAAAAACAAACACTGTGTATAACACAACCAGTAGAAAAACCAGATCAGGTGCATTTCAGAGTTGGAAAGATTTTATCTAAAAATGAAAAGATGGCAGCTTTCTTAAAAACCAGAGTTACAGAGTCACTCTGCTGCTGCTGTCATCTTGTTTTGGTGGACCAGGATTCTGTTGACTCACTCAGACTAGAACCTATAGCTCTGTTGAGTGCTCAGGACTACAGAAGTCATCTTGGGATTTTCTATGGAAGTATGTACAGATTTTCCTCATGGAGTTGGGAGTAATGGTGACCTGGAAGAACAAAGTTGAGATTTCAGAGATTTCCCAAGATAAAAATTTAGCTATTACCTCAACAATTAAAATTAAGGGGAACCTTAATTTAGGATGCCTAGAAATTTATTTTGTCAACCAGTTTTCAGTTGCAAATACTTCTGACGGCAGGGTCTCTTTTGGCTGATCTGCACAGGATATATAGTAAAAATTTTGTAGATGGTGTGCAAGGAAAGAAGGCTTAGGACTTTTAATGTAAACAGTTAAGTCTACCAATAAGAAACAAAGAGGTTACAATTATTATCCTCTTTTAAATAAATAAGTAAATCAGCTTCTCCAATTTATAAATAAGGTAGCTATTTAAGTGGTAGCAGTTACCTTTTTCTGAAGGTCTGCATTTTCATCACATAAAGAAACTTTAGCTTTAAAGAAACCATATGAATAGCACATTATTGTTTAAAGACTCTTTGATTTACGTATTAGTGAAAACAAGTCACTGAAATTAGTTATACTCCACATTGGTGAGATCAGTTCCCCTGAAAAAACAGGATTACTCATAATTTTGAGGAAGAAAAACTTTCTCTAAGCCCCTCCCCCCATTTTCTGTAGGAAAAGTCTTGGTTGGAGACTGCATACTAAGAAGCCTTTGAAATATTTCTCAATTATCTTCCCTGAAATTATAGGATGCATTTGATGAAAGCAGGTGGAGAACGTGAACCAAGCCTATGCTTATCCAGCTTCTGCCCTTAGAAAGAAAGATGTGTTCATCTTGCCTCCTGGATTAGATTTCAACCAGCCTATGGACTTCTCCTTAACACAGAACAAAGGCTACTACGAATTACAGTGGAAACTTCCTTGACCCACCTCTCCATAACCTGCAAACAAATGAGCAGAAGCATTCTATTCCCTCTGCTGCCCACAGGTCCCTCATGGCTACTTCTGTGACCATCATTATGCTTTTCAGGGTTCAAAAATCCATTTCTGCCAGTAATATCTATTATTGTTATTATATAACTTAAATGTCATATAAGCCAATGAAATAAGAAATCTACAGAAATAAGAGGAACTATGCTATTTTGTTATACTAAAAACATTGGTATGAGCAAGAGGACTAAAAATCAGGGAGAAGTCGTAAAAATCTAGAAGAATTCTGCACTTAAAATGCTTTGTAAGTATCCGAGTTTCACTGTATTTTAACTAATCACAAACTGCAATTACAAACTGGAAACCTACTTATGGATGTTGGCAACTTTTCCATGAACAACAGCTTTATCTATAAAAAGGATGGCATACTGTCTGACAGGAGAGGAGAGGTATTTTTGAACTGATATCCTGGAGCATGAGAAAGGCTTTAGGGAATCAGGCAACAGGGCTGAGGAGAATGGGCCTTGACGAGGGGATTTTAATGGGCGTAAACAGGGTTGCCAGATAAAATACAGCACACCCACTTACATCTGAATTTCAGACAACAATTTTTTTTACTATAAATGTTCCATGCAAAATTTATCCTGTATTTTTATGTGCTAAATTTGGCAACTCTAGGAATAAATATTTTCTTTTCTTGAGCATTCTGCCTCAAGAAGAGATCTGTGTCTGTCCTCCCTCAAGCCAGGAGATGTGCCTTCCTACCACGGTTGCCTTACCGGGCCTGGTGACGTCTTTCCACTTTGCCGTCTGGAATTGGGTGTCTGGGACGATGGACTTCGTGGGGATGAATTCTCCGCTTTCCGTTTGGCTGCCATGGCCAACAACCAGTTTTTATTTTCTGGGGAGCTATTCTCTTTGCCTACCACTTCAGACCCTTCTCCACAAGGTCTCAAAGGAAGAGGTAGTGTTCCACAGCTTTCTGAAACGTAAGGACTGACAGGAGAAGGAGGCTCTGAGATACTTGTGCTAGCTCCTTCAATCTTGCTTGATTTGGTAGGACCCAGAGTGTCTTTACTTAGGTCTTCCTGGTTACCAGCAAGGCAGCACAGATCCAAATGAAGATTTTCAACTTGGCCATCAAGCTCAGTCACACAGTTGCAACTCTTCACACACTTCTGTTTCACACTCTCTAGACAGCTCGAGTCTAGCCTCCGCTTTACTCTATTTCTAGATTCAGAACAAGTCTCTGCCTGGGATGACTTCTGGCTCACAGGAATCAGGGCCTTTCTTGGAGACATGATCTTGGTCTCAGAAGCAGGCGGAGTGATGGGAGGTGATGAGGAAGGTGTTCGAGTCACCCAGTTTCTAATAGACATCTTGAACGACGAAAGTGGCTTGGGAGAGACGGAGGAGACGGAGCCTCTTCTGTTGATGGGAGACCGGGCCTTGGCAGGTGGGGTTTTAATAGAGAATGTGGGAGTATTTGAAGGAAGAGGGAGGTCTCCAGCACAGCTTGGAGCACAAGCTGCAGATGATGGAGAGGAAACGGACGGACTGCTCTTCACCCTGGGAGCTTTGGCAGGAGTACTCTGGCTACTTGTTACTGTTGCTGAAAAAGAGAGGATCATGAAAACCAGAAATGAAAGCCATACAGAGTCCCTAAATTCTCATCAAGGAAAATGACAGCTGATCCAATCATCCAAAGGTTGGTTTACCAGTAAGTAGGTTATATATATGTGATTCCTGCCACATTGATTTTCTTTTCCCTAACTGCCAGCTTCCCAACATCTTATTGCAAAACAGACACCTATAAAAATCTAGAAAATACAGAAAAATTTCAGAGCACCCAGGTAAACCACTGTTAGTATTTTCCTGTATTTGTGCATATAATATATTATACATTTCACATTCATCAAACAAAGTATAATGTATATGCTATTTGGTAATCTTTTATCTGAGAAATTTATTTTTTAAGTTGTATCTACAGGGTGCAATGTGATGTCCTGATATATGAAAACAACGTGGATGACTATATCAAGCTAATTAACATGCCCATCCCCTCACATACTCATTCTTATGTGACAAAAACTTTACTATTATCTGCATTCACTGGGCTGTATCATAGACTCCAGAATTTATTCCACATATACAAACACTTATATGTTGACATAAGTGAAATTTTGTACCTTTTACCAGTATCTCTCCAGTTGCTCCCCTTGATATCAGCCCCCGGTAATCACTGCTTAGTTTCTATTTCTATGCATTGGACTTTTTTAGATTCTACATATAAGTGGGATCAGGTCATATTTGTCTTTCTGTGCCTGGTTTATTTCTCTTAACATAGCATCCTCCAGGTTACATGCATGCTGATGACAAGACTCCCACCGTTTTAGGCTGGAGAGTAGTCTACTATGTATACATATCATAGTTTCTTTATCCATTAGCCAACTGATGGACACTTACGCTGATTCTGTATCTTGACTCACAGTGAAAAATGCTAGAGTGAATGTGAGCATGCAGATTATCTCTTCCACATACTGCTATCACTTCTCGGGATACATATCCAGAAGTGGAACTGTGTGATCACATGGTAATTCTATTTTCAGTTTTTTGAGAAACCTCCATACTGATTTTACCAATACTCATTACCTTTTGTCTTTTTGATAAAAGCCATTCTAGCAGGTATGACGTGGTATCTCATTTTGGCTTTAATTTGCATTTCCCTGATGATTTTCTTGTACTTGTTGGCCTATGTTATGTATTCTTTTGAGAAGGTCCTACGTCCATTTTTATCCATCAACAAAGGATTCCAACAGTAAAGCTGTTAGGTTGTTGATGCTGGGCAAAGAAGCACTAACTGCACAAGGATTCTCAGAGAAGCACAGGTCTAAAACCTGGCGCATTCACTTACTATGTGACTTACGCCCAATTCTGCATCTCCTTGGACTGTTAACACATTCAGTGGAGATAGATTTTAACTAGATAAGGTGACTAGCCCTCATGTGGCTTCTCACCTTAGTTTACAAATGACTACTGGGGCTGGCATGGCGGTGTAGTGGGTAAAGCAGCTGCCTGTGATGTTGGCAACCTAACTGGGCACCAGTTTGAGTCCTGACTGCTCCACTTCTGGTACAGCTCTGCTCATGTGCTTAGGAAAGCAGTGAAAATGCCCCAAGTACTTGGGCCCCTGTACCCATGTGGGATACCTGGAAGAAGCTTCAGACTGGTCCAGCTCCAGCGGTTGCAGCTATTTGGGGAGTGAACCAACAGATGAAAATCTCTATGTAACTCTGCCTTTCAAATAAATAAAATTAAAAAAAAATTTTTTTATTTATTTGAGAGGTAGAGCTATAGACAGCGAGAGGGAGAGACAGAGAAAAAGTCTTCCATCTGCTGGTTCATTCCACAAATGGTTACAACGCTCAGAGCTGGGCCGATCCGAAGCCAGGAGCCAGGAGCTTCTTCTGGGTCTCCCACATGGGTGGAGGGGGCCAGGATGCTTGGGCCATCTTCCACTGCTTTCCCAGGTCACAGCAGAGAGCTGGATCAGAAGAGGAGCAGCTGGGACTAGAACTGGCACCCATATGGGATGGCAGCATCGCAAGTGGAGAATTAATCTACTGCACCACAGCATCAGCCCCAATAAGATAAAATCTTACACAACACAAGATCATATCCTACCCCTATGGAAAGGACTTAGTAAAGGATCCTGTCCACAGAGCTGCTCCTCCATGTTTCACAGCTTGACTGCTGTCATTACTTCAGAAGGAAAGAAGAGCTTTCATTTGCTGCACTCTCAAGAACAGTCACTGCACTGCTACCACAGACATTTGTTCCACTTAAGTGGGCTCAAGTGTACACTCAGGGTAGAAAGTTCTACTGTATATGCTGAGTCTAAGGCCAGGTCAAGAGGAGAAGGAAGAGCTGGGCTAGGGACAAACCAGGCACCAAAGTTTCTGATACTGCCATGGCACGGGTGGGAGGTATTTTTGAAAGGTCAGCAGGAAACAGATGTATCTGAAAGTTGGGGTATGTCCTCTTCCTTCTGGATGTTATGATGGTGGGGGTTAAAGCCAAGATTTTTGCTAACTTTGAAGATTAGAAAAACTCAGTCAAATTTCATTTACTTTCATTTTTCATTTATTTGAAAGTCAGAGAAACTGGTTCACTCCCCATATGTCTGCTAAAAGCTGTGGCTGGGATAGTCTGATGCCAGGGGCTGGAAACTCAATCTGGGTCTCCCACATGGGTGGTAAGGATTCACATACTTGAGCCATTATTTGTGGCCTCCCAGGAAGGTGTGTATTAACAAGATGCTAAATAGGAAGGGGAGCTGGGATTGAGCCTAGACACTCTGAAAAACGATGTGGATGTCCCAGACGGCAACTTAATGGGTTGTGCCCCTAATTTTTTTAAAATCAGTAACTAGGTAATAAAGTAATAAAAGTTCATTGTGAAGAAATTCAAGCAATACAAGGGGAAGAGGGTGAAAAGTAAAAACTCTTTATAACCCTTCATTTCACTCAGATTCTTGTGCATTTCACAATTTTCTGTGTTTATTACCACATACAAAAAGTATATGTTTATCGTACCTTAAAAAGGAAAGCAAAACTAACAGATTACCCTATTCCAATGTATTCGCAATGTTTTGCGATTTTGCTCTTTTATCTTTTTCTCTGTAAATCTTAACATGGGTGTATAGCATTCTTTTTAACAGCTGCAAAGTATGTCACTACACTGGCTTAAAATTTGACATGCCATTTTCTAGTTTACATACTTAGATCAATTCCTTATTGCCCTAAAGTAGTATATAAGATCTGATGACACCACAGCATAGACTGGGTTACTGTCCTAAAGGCTTCCTGACAGTCAGCTCCTTTCAGGAATTAGAGCTTCCTAATAATCCATTCGCAGCTTCTTTCTCTATGAAGGTTTGCCACCTGGCCTTTCACTCATCATGTGCACGCTCTGCTGCTTTAGGGTCTTGTTACAGGAGATACTTTCTGCTTCCTAAACACGCTGTGTACAGTCACATTTCTGTTTTTGTTCATGTGGTTTTCTTGCCAAGTCTTTCCCTTCTTTGTCAGGCAAAAGCTCTTCTCATGTTTCAAGGCTCTAGTGACAATGTTAACTGTACTGTGACACATTCCCAAACTTCTTTCCTCTTTTCCCATGGAGTTCCCAGAGCTCTTTGTTTATAGAGCAAGGAGAAATGTTTAAAATGTACCATAGTTTTTGCATCTGCCTTCTAGACTGTGAGTCTGGAGGGCAGGTGAGGCTGATTTACTCATCTGCAGATCTAGTGCAGATCTAGTGTCCCCCATAGTGCCTTGAAAGGAATTACTAAACACAGTTAAACTTGATGACTGTTAAAAGGGTGAAGTTCCAGGAAACAGAAAACTGACTGTAAATATCCTGCTGACTGTGAGACTGAAGCAGGCATCTGAGATGGAAGAGGTAAGACTTCTTTCTCTTTAAAGTAAGAATAATGATCTCTGTCATTCAATAATGCCTACACTAGAGGTTCTCTATCCTTGCTATACAACTTCCCTGGAACTTTATAAAAACACAGGTACTGGCCGGCGCCGTGGCTCACTAGGCTAATCCTCTGCCTTGCGGCGCTGGCACACCGGGTTCTAGTTCCGGTTGGGGCGCCGGATTCTGTCCTGGTTGCCCCTCTTCCAGGCCAGCTCTCTGCTGTGGCCAGGGAGTGCAGTGGAGGATGACCCAGGTGCTTGGGCCCTGCACCCCATGGGAGACCAGGATAAGTACCTGGCTCCTGCCATCGGATCAGCGTAGTGCGCCAGCCGCAGTGGCCATTGGAGGGTGAACCAACGGCAAAGGAAGACCTTTCTCTTTCTCTCTCTGTCCACTCTGTCAAAAACAAAAACAAAACAACAACAACAAAAAAAAACCACACAGGTACTTACTTTCAGAGGTATTGAATCAATCACTGGGGACACACCAACTTTAAAAAAGTTCCACAAGTGTTTGTGATGCAAAGCCAAAGAATAGTACTAGTGATAGAGCAGATGCTGGCTGGGAAAAGTAGGGCAGAGGGGAAAGAGGCTGTGCCTTGGCACATCAAGTCTTTCAGTTCTTTGTTAAAAAGGCCAGAAGAGAAGAAATGAAACCCAGGAGAGCAACGAAGGCTTGCAGAAGCAATCAGAAGCTTGGAAAAGCATAGATACATAATTCTCAAAATGGCAATAGGGATAGCAGCAGCCAATCTGTTGCTAGAAGTTTCCTAAGAGGGTCAAATGACCCAGGTATCAGCCTTTGGCACCTGAGTCAAGTTGTAGTGCTCTTCAGAGAATCCCTAGCATCATCCAGGAATGGAGGAATCAAGGCATAATTTGAACTTTAAATTTCAGTTTAGGTGTTAATGTGAACTTTGTTTTGTTGTGTTAAATTCAGGGAAAAAAACAACTTTTAGCAAAATATTGGAAATAAAACATGTAATGAATAGATTAGCTAGGTAAACTGTGGAACATTTACTCAATGACATATTTTAAATACTGTTGTAAAAAAGATAACTTATAGTGTTTCTAAAGACGTCATGTTCAGTAAAAAAATCCCCAAAAATCAAAATGTATATATAACCTAATTATGGTTATGTTAAAAAGGAATCTCTCACACAAAGGCGGAAAAAAAAAATCTCAAAAAGTAATTGAAATGTTAGTTAAAATTATGTGTAAACGACAGGAAGACTGATGGCCCTTTCCTCGTGACTCTTTCATTTCAGAGCATCTAAAATGAGGGAGAAAAATACAAGCGAAGATGGCAGAGGAAAAACCACCCAAGTTCACGGATCAAAAAACTTAAACTTAAGATGGCAATACGTCCAAAACTGATCTAGAGTCAATGCAATTCCTATCAAAATCCCAAGTGGCTGGGGTCGGTGTTGTGGCACAGTGGGTAAAGCTGCCACCTGCAGTGCTGGCATCCCATATGGGCATGGGTTCATGTCCTGGATACTCTACCTCCAATCCAGCTCCCTGTTAAAGGCCTGGAAAAAGCAGCAGATGGCCCAAGTGTTTGGGTCCCTGCCACCCACATGTGAGAGTAGAATGAAACTCCTGGCTCCTGGCTTTGGCCTGGCCCAGCCCTGGCCATTGCAGCTATCTAGGGAGTGAACCAGTGGATAGAGGATCTGTCTCTGTATCTCCCCCTTTCTCTGTAACTTTGACTTTCAAATAAAAAACAAAAACAGCTGGCTAATTTGCAGAAATTGAAACGCTCATCCTACAGCTTGTAAAAAAAAGATCCAGAATAGTCAAAACAGTCTTAAAAAAAAAAAAAAAAAACTATAAAGGACACAATTTCCAGATTTCAAAACCCACTGCAAAGCTACAGTAACCAGGCTAATGTGGTTCCAACATAAGCATATAAAAGGGTACTTTAAAAAGTCTGTAGAAAAATGAAATTAAAAAACAAATTGTTTTTGATGCAAAAAATTTTGAAAGCCACATTGGTCTTTCACAATATATGAGTTTCCATGAACATTTCAGACTCCTCTTATGCACTGATTTCAATTTTTTTGCATCAAAACAAACATGTCCTTTAATTCAATGGGATAAACAATAATCTTCTTAGAAAACGATGCCATCCACATGCAACAACATCTAATCAAACACAAAATAAATTGAAAATGGATCATCATAGACCATAAACCAAACATCCCCTACAAGAAAACTCAAGTTAGTCTTTGTGACCTTGGGATAGGCAATGGTTTCTTTGATATAACATTGAAAGCACAGGTGACAAAAGAAAAACATACATTGTAGTTAACCAAATTAGGTTTTCTTATTTGAAAGGCAGAGAAGGACATGATGGATAGTCACAGAAATCCTCCAACTGCTGTTTTTACTCTCCAAATGCTCACAATAGCTGAGGCTGGGCGAGGCTGAAGCCAGCAGTTTGGGACTCATTCTGGTTTCCTATGTGGGAGGCAGGAACACAACTATTTGAGCTATCACTTGCTGTCACCCAAGTGTACATTAGTGGGAAGCTGGACTTAGAAGCAAAAGCTATGACTTGAACTCAGACCCTTGATATGGGAAAACACTGAAAAGAGAAGGCCGAAAATTGCTAAAAATAAATAGAAACACACAATATTATTTAAATAGACACAGAAATCAAAAAATCAACTGAGAAATTTGAAAATATATACTACCTCTGGGAAAGGGAAACTATGGGGGGCAAAAGATCTGGTCTGGGGACTGTTCTTTGTCTTATTTATCCTGTAGAATTATGATTTATTAAATTGCTAACACTAATACAATTTCAAAAATTAAGACAGTAAAAAAACATAAATAAGACAGCATCAAAGACTTCTTAGAAATTAAATTTAGGGCAATGCAACCCCTCCTAAAGTCTAGTTGCAGCTCATAAAGTGAAAGAATAAATCCTTAAAGAAAATGAGTCTATATACTGCTGTCTCACCTTCTACTCCAACAATCCTTCCTCTTCAGGAGCCCTCAATCCATTGATAACACCTTTTTTACACCGTTCCCGACCACATCCTCACCACCCTCTGTAGCCAGATTAAATCTCAGCATCAGTCACTGTAATCATTCTCTTGCATTCATCTTTAACCTCTATGTTCTTCCTCAAAACCTGACTTGCTGAACCACATTGAGTACTCACTTTCAATGAATAGACTGCTGGCCTCAAGCTGACTCTTCATGCCCAATAATGCTAATTTCCTGGTCTATTTACTCTTCTATTCTGTCAGTGATCATTTTAGACTCTTGTGCCTTCTCAAATCCCCCAAATCTTTATTCTCCCCCCTAATCCTTATTCTTAGTTGATCATTTTGATTTGTATTTCACTGACAAAATAAAGCCATCAGATCAGAAGAAAGCTTTCATAAGTTTTGACCATCCTATCTCTCCACTTACTTCCATTGTGCCCACATACTTCTGTTCTGCCTTCTCTCTGGTTATCCACATTCCTTGCAATGGCATACTCTTCTACTTCTGTGTTACAGTATACTCTCATGTTTCCTCGAGGACATTGCTCCAGCACATTTCCTTGCATCAGTACTCCTCCTCCATATGAGATCTTTCCAATCACATAAAAAAATGCTAGTTTTTCTTTCTTAATACTAGAATAAAACACCCACCAAACTTCAACTCCTCCAGCTACCCATTCTAGCAAATTTCTTTGAAAGAGCTGTCTATGCTTGCAATCGCCAAGTTTTTTTCTCCCTTCATCCTGAAAGACACCCATCGGCCACTACCGCTTCACATTCTCATCAAGGTTTCCAAACCCTCCACCAATGCCAGACCTAAAGGTCAGATTTTAGGCTTCTGCTTTTTTCCCCCCTAATTTATTTGAAAGGCAGTGTTACAGAAAGAGGAGGGACACAGAGAGAGATTAATCTTCCATCCACTGGTTAACTTCCCAAATGGCCATGATGGCTGGGGCTGGATCAGATCGAAGCCAGAGCCAGCAGCTTCCTCCGGATCTTGTGGGTGCAGCAGCCACCCTCTGCTGCTTTCCCAGGTGTGTTAGTAGGGAGCTACACTGGGAAGTGCAGCAGGCCAGTCTTAAACTGGCACTCATATGGGATGTCAGTATCCTAGGCAGAGGCTTTAATCTGCCACACCAGAATGCCAGCCCTGTTCTTCCTTTCTTGTTTTCTTTTTCTAAGCAATTACTTTGATTTGACACAGTACATTTTTATTCTTTATCTTGCTTATCCCCTCTCATGCTATTTACATCTTTGAGATTTTTGATTCTTCTGTTCATTGTTGAATCCTTAGCCACTAAGAATGATGCCCAGCAGATAGCAGGTATCCAATAAATATTTGTTGAATAAATCTACTACTGTATTCCAGCGCTTTGTGTAGATGATAAACCTAGTAGTGCTCATAAAACATTTACTGAAAACAATGCTAAGAAAATAGTACTTTTCTTTAAAAACACAACAAAACAAGATCAAATCTAGCTTACCACTAGTCAAACCATAAAAAAACAGAAAATTCATGATATCCTTACCTAGTCCAGCTCTTGTCTCTTTTTTCTTCTGAGAGGCCCAACCTACTATGGAAAGTTTATCCCCTCCTGGTTTCTCCTCTAAGCCTCTATTTAAGCGCCAAATTTTGAGTGTATTGTCATCAGAGCAGGTAGCAATCTAAAAAGGAGAACCAGGAAGAAAGTTTAAAACTTGCGATCAAATATTCACAACAAAGTAAGAAACAGATGTATCCTAAGGACTCATGACTGGAAAATTATTTTGTCTGATATATACAGTGATATCTGAAAGATCATATAAATTCATTCCTTGTTTACAGGAATCTTCCCAAATTTCCAAAGAAGTTGATATTCTCTAGTTTTTGTCTTTATAAACATTCTGCCACTATGTTGTTTGTTACCAGTTATTTCTTACTTAACTTAAAGCTCTACTATAAAACCAGACTCATTTCATTTTGTTCTCTCAAGGAGCTGGGCAAGTCTTTATCATTCTATGTAAGAATGAAATATCAAGTTATATCCTTTTTATTCTTTCTGCTAAATGGTAAATTAATGTGTATTACCAATATTCTGTTTCTGCATCTTCTGATTGCTGCATGTTCTGATTTACTGTTAAAGTAATAGGATCATTTCCAAGATTGTACTTAGCTCATGACTTCAGTAAGCCATGACAAGTAGAATCAAACTGTTCCTTTGAGATTCTTTTTCAGATAGGTAAAGGAGCAATCTTGGAAAACAAGTTCACTAGGCTGAAAGAAGTTAAAAATAACCTTTGCCCCTTTAAAAAGATCTGGCTATTCCTGATCTTGGTCCCAAGCCTTTTATGGCAGAGAAAGTCCAGCTTGACGAGCTTGTGGCAAATGGCCACTGGTACCAGAGTTGTTCCCCAGCATTTGTTTATATAGTTTCTCTATTTCAGTCACTAAAGAGAGAGAAAAAAAGAACACACATTCTCTTAAGTCTTGGTCCCCAAGAGACTGGCAGCTTTTTCCTTTCCTTACTGGGAGGCCAAAGGAAGATACACATATTAACTGCTAAGCAAGAAACGCTTGGAATCTCAGAGTCACTAGATAGTCTATTAACAGTAGTTACTAACAGAGCACCTGTACTGCATCTGGCAGTTCCTATTTTTTCTACTATTTTATTCCTACAATATCAAATAATCTCATTTGGAAACCAGGAACAAAGTTATTTGCTCAAAGTCACCACAATTAAGTGGCAGAGCTAGAATTCAAACCTTAGTTTCTCTTATTCCAAAAGTCAAAACATTTTTTAAAAAAATAAACAAACCAACCAACCATGCTCTACCTCCCTAATCCTAGGCTTAGGACAAAATTATTTACAAAGGACTTAGATTAGTGTGGGTAAACAGCTCTGCCATTTACTTTGAGTTTTTTTTTTTCATAGAAAATGGGGTAATACCTGAGGACTGAAAAAAGTCAACAGTGAATATTCAAAAACCATTCATCTTAGAAAGTTCCATGAAGATGCAATATTCTACCTTAAAAGCAGAAATTTCACTGGAAGTTACATGGAATCTCAGTGGGATAATGCCGTTAGGATGTAATTATAGATGATTAAGGTAATAATTAAAAAAAAAAAAAAAAAAGGGAAGGTCTGCCATGAGGCTCACCACAGAAATGGTAACAGGGGTATGAAAATAAAGAGGAGCTGGTGCTGTGGCCAAGTGGGTGAAGCTGCTGCCTGCAATGCTGCTATCCCATATGGGCGCTGGTTCATGTTCCAGCTGCTCCTTTTCCAATCCAGCTCTCTGCTCCGGCCTGGGAAAGCAGAAGATGGCCCAAGTACTTGGGCCCTTGCACCCACATGGGGGACCTGGAAGAAGCTGCCGGCTCCTGCCTTTGGATGGGTGCAGCTCTGGTGTGGCGGCTAACTGGGGAGTGAACCTGTGAAGTCCTTCCTCTCTCTGCCTCTGCCTCTCTGTAACTCTGTCTTTCAAATAAATAAATAAATAAATAAGTAAATAAATAAATAAATAAAAAGAAAAGAAAAGAAAGAGAAATCCATAGTAGTACTGGAAAGCTAGCAGGGATACCATGAATAGTTTCTACAGGATAATAACAAATAAATAAGAAACAGATGGGAACAATAGATAACAAATCTCAAAACATTGTGCATGAAAGGGAGACCTCCACAGAAGTGAGATTTCTTGTAAAAAAGAACAACCCAAAGATTTGAGGCAATGGGGATTGGGACACCAGTTAGAACTTGGGCTACTATTATATGAAATCCTATATATACACAGAGTTGTTTGCTTCTGGCCTTTCAATATTGTAAGTTTTTCTGTTTCTTTTTCTATTTTCACTATTTAAAAATTTAAAAGTGGGCATATTTTCTTTATCTAGAATGTCTAAAACATTCCAGACCTACTTCTTTTTACAGTTTGGCTACAGATAACCCAACATATAAAAGACTTCTGGGCCAGTGCTGTGCTGCACCGGGATAAGCCGCTGCTTAAGACGCCAGCATTCCATACTGGAGCATCAGTTTAAGTCCCAGATGCTCTGCTTCTGATTCAGGTGCCTGGTAATGTGCCTGGGAGACAGTGGAAGATGGCAAGTACTTGGGCCCCAGGCCATTCATGTGGGAAACCTGTTGGAGCCTCAGCCATTGCAGTCGTCTTGGCAGTGAAGCAGGACAGATCTCTCTATCTGCCTTTAAAATAAACAAAATATAAACCTTAAAAAAAAAAAAATACAAAACCAGGGCCAGCACCGTGGCTCACTTGGTTAATCCTCCACCTGCAGCGCCACCATCCATATGGGCGCTGGGTTCTAGTCCCGATTGTTCCTCTTCCAGTCCAGCTCTCTGCTGTGGCTCAGGAAGGCAGTGGAGGATGGCCCAAGTGCTTGGGCCCTGCACCCACATGGGAGACCAGGAGGAAGCACCTGGCTCCTGGCTTTAGATCGGCATAGCTCTGGCTGTGGCGGCCATTTAAGGGGGGTGAACCAACGGAAGGAAGATCTTTCTGTCTCTCTCTCACTGTCTAACTCTATCTGTCAAAAACAAAACAAAACAAAACAAAAAAAGAAACAACACTTCACAATAATCATTATTTGTGAAAACCCAAACTGGACTGTGAAGAACAGCTAAGATGTTATTTATAACATCTCATTTTGGATAGTATGTAGAAAGTGAAAGACTAGGGGGCTGGAGCTGTGGTGAATAGGTAAAACCACACCTATAAGTGCCGGCGTCCCTTATGGGTGCCAGTTCAAGTCCTGGCTGCTCCACTTCTGATTCAGTTCTCAGCTACGGCCTGGGAAAGCAGTAGAAGATGGCCCAAGAGTTTGGGCCCCTGCACCTGCACTGGACACCTGGAGGAAGCTCCTGGCTTCGGATCAGCCCAGCTCTGGCCATTGCAGCCATCTGGGGAGTGAACCAGCAGGTGGAAGATCTTTCTCTCTCTCCCTACCTCTGCTTCTCTATAACTCTGCCTTTAAAATAATAAATCTTAAAAAAAAAAAAAAAAGAATGTGAAAGACTAGTTCTCATCTTAGATTTTAAGATGAAATTTTAGTTAAGTAAAAAATGTAACTCTATACTTAAGAAAGCAACAACCCCAGTGAACCAGGAACTCATCCTTATTCCTCAGTTGATAAGCTCCTCAACAGGTACAGAAAAGCAGACTATATGAGTAATGTTGATATGGTTTCTGGATGACCTCTAGACCTTTCACATTTCCATTTAAATATTAAAATCTATCACCCTCTAGGCAAATGTGAGGAAAATCTGCAAATTGGTGATCTACTTTTAAAAAAAGATTTATTTTTATTTGTTTGAAAGGCTCAGGGAGGGAGAAAGAGATCTTCCAATCTCTGGTTCACTTTCCAAATGGCCACAACAGCTAGGGCTAGGTCTGACAGAAGCCAGGAACCATAAGCTTCCTGTGGATCTCCCATGTGAGTGCCGGGGACGAGGGATTTGGGCCATCCTTTGCTGCTTTCCCAGGCACATTAGCAGGGAGCTGGATGGGCAGTGAAGCACCTGGGACTCAAATGGGATGGGCATCAAATGGGATGCCAGTGTTGCAGGCTGGCTCCAGTGATCTATTTTTTAGTGACACAGACATGTTTACACACCTTTGTGAAGTCGGATGGACACCAGCATACAGATGTGACCTCTTGAAAATGACCTAGGAGTACAGTAGGAGGATGCCATGGCGTGGAGACCTAGCCCAAACAAAAAGAAACAAATCAGCATAGCAGTGTAAGGTCTCCCAGATATAGGCTTTGAATCTCCCTAATATGCCTTAGAGAGCTTCAAGGTTGTTACCTAAGGCCCTTACCACCTGTGGTTACAGTTCAGAAAAAAGAATTTCCAATGGATAATGAAGAATTTCTGTTAACAAAACTGAGACAACAATTAAAATAGACAAGATATGTTCTTAATATGAACTTAGATACCAGGAAAGTTTTTATTTCAAATCAAGACTACTTAGTTATATCTCTACTAAAATTCAAGACTGTTATTTTTCCCTTAGCCCTTAGCTGGTAACTTTCCTTCTGGAAGGATGAATCTCAATTGCTAGGTAGTATACTTCAAGTGGACAATTTAGTCCTGTTTTTATATATTTTTATATAGCCTACACATTTTCAGATCTTCTCATCAATCACTTTCAGAAATACTTAACTGTGAATGCTGAAGGTACCCGAAACATGTTACCTGCTCATTTAGGACAAGACACTTAAGACACTTTGAGCTGGACAATCTTCATTTTGAAGGGGCAAACACTTCATTTTACCAGGTACTTCACTGGTGTGTATGTATATATGTATACATACATATATATATATATATATATATATTTTTTTTTTTTTACAGGCAGCGTGGTCAGTGAGAGAGACAGAGAGAAAGGTCTTCCTTTCTGTTGGTTCACCCTCTCAATGGCTGCCGTGCTGCGGCCAGCACACCGCGCTGATCCAAAGGCAGGAGCCAGTTACTTATCCTGGTCTCCCATGGGGTGAAGGGCCCAAGCACTTGGGGCCATTCTCCACTGCCTTCCCTGGCCACAGCAGAGAGCTGGCCTGGAAGGGGGCAACCGGGACAGAATCCGGTGTGATGGCGCCACAGGCAGAGGATTAGCCTAGTGAGCCGTGGCGCCAGCTCAATATTTTGTGGAACATTTTTTTAAATTAATTTGCTTAAAAATTTTTAATTTTCAAGTTAAGTCTTACGATATTTTAATACAGTTTAATTCATAAAGAAGGGTCACATCATGCTGTCCTGTACATATGACTAAGAATGTGCCTTTCCCATCACCACATGACACCAGTAAAATGCATTTCACAGCGTTGTACAGCTGAGTCACCCTAGAGATGTCAATCCCCTTTGCAGGAATCAGCACAGTAAGAAGTACAACCTCAGCCAGCGCCGCAGCTCACTAGGCTAATCCTCCACCTTGCGGCGCCGGCACACCGGGTTCTAGTCCCAGTCGGGGTGCTGGATTCTGTCCCGGTTGCCCCTCTTCCAGGCCAGCTCTCTGCTGTAGCCAGGGAAGGCAGTGGAGGATGGCCCAAGTCCTTGGGCCCTGCACCCCATGGGAGACCAGGATAAATACCTGGCTCCTGCCATCGGATCAGCGCGGTGCACCGGCTGCATCGCGCCGACCAAGGCGGCCATTGGAGGGTGAACCAACGGCAAAGGAAGACCTTTCTCTCTGTCCCTCTCTCTCACTGTCCACTCTGCCTGTCAAAAAAAAAAAAAAAAGAAAAAAAAGAAAAAAGAAAGAAGTACAAGAAGTACTACCTCCCAAAACGATTAAGCTCCCTGCTTATGCTCTAGGGAAAGTAGTAGAAAATGGCCCAAGTCCTGGGCCACTGTACCAATGTGGGAGACCCAGAAGAAGCTCCTGGTTCCTGGGTTTGGACTTGCCCAGCTCTGGCTGTTGTGGCCGTTTGGGGAGTAAACCAGTGGGTAGACAATCTCTGTCTCTCCCTCCTTCTCTCTCTCTGTAACTCTGCTTTTCAAATACATTTAAAAATAAATAAATAAAATGTTTCAAGAAAAATCATATGTCCATCAACACAATCTATGAACAATTAATCCATAGGGATTTTAGAGAAAAAAGAAACACTTGGAAAATTTTTTTATAATTTGATAAGTTATTAATAATAATAATGAAAGCCAATTGTTGATTGAATATTACCAGCTGGGCAATTTACTCAGCCTTAAAAGTGACAGAGAAGGCTCCTAAAAAAGTTACACAGAATTAATTACTATACAGCCTAGCAATAGTACTGTTAGCTATATGTCCCCACGAAAACTGAAAACATGTCCATACAAAAAACTTATATACAAATGCTCACAGCACTTTTATTTATCAATTCAAAAAGTGGAAACAATTAAAATGTCCACCAACTGATGAACAGATACATAAAATGTGACCCATCTACACAATGGAATATTATTCAACCATAAAAAAGGAATGAAGTACTGATAACTCTGTAACATGGGTAAAACTTGGTAACATTATGCTAAGCAAAAGAGGTCAGAGACAAAATGCCACATATTTTATGATTCCATTTATATGAAATGTCTGCAACAGGCAAGATCAGAGATAGAATGTAGGTTAGCAGTTGTTGAGGGCAAGAGAATGGAGAGTCACTGTTAAAGGGAACGAGGTTTTTTTCTTGTGTGATAAATGTTGGAATCAGAGTGGTGATTGCTGCACTTGATGATTATACTTGATTATACTAAAAACGTCTGAATTGTCTGTTTTAAAATGAGTAGGCTGGCGAATCTGATGTTACATGAATTCTATATCAATAAGAAAAAAGTGGGGGAAGAACATTGTAGGTTGGCATGAAAAACCTATCTAGTAAGTTTTTATGAATTTTACTCATGGGCACTTTGATAGTTTAGGACTAACCTATGGTATAGCACTTCACGACTCCTTCAAAGATTAATTTCCTCTAATAAAAATCAGGTGGACTTTAAATCTTTTGTTTTCATTTGTTAAGTTTTCATTTACTGCCACTTTGTTATTATACATGATTTCATCTTTAAAGCCCGCCTTTCCTTAAGACGGAAGGAGACTATGAAGTCCCAGGAACTGACATCCATGTACTAGGAGGATGGAGAGGAAAAACTGTCCTTTTTTCACATATTCTACTTTTTATAGAACAAAAACCTCATGGCATAAGAAATCCCAAAGTTACAGCTATGAAGGTAGCTCTAGAGGTAAATGACTCTTAATGTACAGACCTCAAAAAAAAAAAAGACTTAAACATGTAGAAACGATCAGCACTTTTCCTCACAAAACCTCTTACTGTGCCCAGTTGGAAACCAAATCTAATCTTTATTTTTGCCATGAGATCATTTACACTTCCTAAAGTGTCAGGCTCAGTGTTTCGCCAGTCAGCGGTAGAATGACTGTGCCAAATCAGTTTATTTATAGCCACTTCAGTACTATTCATTGGCTACATTAGAAACAAACCAGGGAAAAGGGGGTGGGGTGTGGGACAATGGGTAGGAAATTAAAAAGCATATTAAATCTTTGTATTTTTAATATTGGGCCTTGGCACCTGAGAATGTAAATTTATTACATCTCCCCCTAGTGAAGTTGTAATAAGAATTAAAAGGCCATTCTTTCCTGTCCTAAGATACACGCCTTCCTTCTTTCACTTGTTTTCTTATGCCCATGGACTTGGTAGCACAGAAAAAATTCTAATGCTTAAAAGAATTTTAATTTCTTGAACATGCAGCAAAGTTGTAAGACAATCTAACAGCAAGGATCATCAGTTTGTATCAAATTGCTTATAATTTAAAACTCCTCTCCTCCCCCCTTTTAGCATGGAAAAGAAAAACTGAGCAACCTCACTAGGCAAATTCAATTTTAGGAGCAGTAAGCTTGCCAGGATCTCAAATATCAGGGCCTGTACACTGAGTTATGTGTGGACAGGCAGGAGAACATCATGTCTAACCACGTCATTCAGCTGTGACATGTGACCCAGCCTAGGAATTCAAACGGTCACTCATGTATATGGTGGCCACTGACTAAATGTTTGAATATGGGTTAGAAACAACAGCCAAATATCTTTTGTGAGTGTCTTCAAAGGGAAGAAGTATAGCTTCAACCCTCATTCCCTGAAACAAAATTTTAAAAAGGTTTTTATGCTAGAGAAATTTTAAGAATTGGGAAGAAAACTATACATATATGTATGTATTTATAATACACAACATATATATGAGGGTACTTTAAGAAGTTTGTGGAAAAATGGAATTAAAAGATAATGTGCATTTTCCATGAACATTCTGAACTACCCTTGTGTGTGCACAAAATATATATGTAATTATGTATATGTACAATTTTAAAAACTGATGTAACTTGATTTTATAGAATTACCAGTACATATGTATTTTCTACACAATCCCCTATTATGCTTTTTGGTATGTCTGAAATTCAAATTGTTTCAAAGAACAAGAAATTTCAAAAGATAAAGACTTGTAATAGGAATAAAATTCTCTAGTTAAGTTGGAAGCTAAAGTAAAGAATGGAATGTAGGTATGATAATGAGGGAAAGATAAAGGAAAAGCGAAAAATTAGCAAAATAAGAAGCATAAGACCAATTTGAAATTCAAAATTTAGTATAGAACTCAGAAGCATTAGTGCTAGTGACAAGCACTGTTAACAGGCAGGCCCAACATAAAAGCATCTAGGCTAGAACAATATCTCCACCTTGTGATCATTTAGGATATTGTCACTGAAAGAAAGCTTTTAATAAGGTCATGTTGCATTTTTGCAACTCTACGTATATAGAAACCACTTTCGTTTTTTTAAATATTTCCCCCAGGACATTTTCTCCCTAGGGCTTCAAACTGAAAGCTTTATATTTCTTAGTTCAGAGTTGTCACTTTAAGAGTTACAATTATTTTCCTGGTAACATGTAGAACAGAGAATATGGATTATCAATTTGGGATACACCTTGGCCATGAAAATGAAAGTATCATACAGTCTCTGAGAGAGTGACGTTTCAGCTATCAAGTAGCAATCCCTACATCTGATGTGGAAGAAGCTAATAGTACATATTTTACATTAAAAGTACCTTGTATCAGACAGCAGAAATGTTTCCAAGAACACTTCAGTTTTGCATTTGTAGGGGGAGTCTGGCAACTTACCTTCCAGATGTAGGCAGCTTCATCACTGGAGCCACTGAGTAGAAACTGGTCATCTGGACTGAGACTGGATTTTACATAAAAGGTAGAGTTTTGGTGTCCATTGAAAACAGCCACTGCAAGAGGATAAAAAAGTTATCTGGTTCTTTTATTCCTAGTGTTCAAACAAGTACATTATTTATAGTATATATATTCTAAAAAGTTTTATCACTATATTAACCATTGAAGCAGATGGTCAAATTTTACTCAACAAGGGAAATAAATGGATACTGGCAAAAATAATAGAAAGCAGCTTTATATTATACCCAGTGTTATAAACTCAACCTACATGCTTGATATGACTATACTAAGTGATGAAAAAATACTTAAAGAAAAAGAATGCACGCACTGTTCAATCTGTTTATAAAACAAAAATTAAACCCTTTCTTGCTACCCTAGGTAGGTATTTTCTATTGGACTGATATATTAAATTTGTTTCCCTTCAGATTTCAAGCTTCCTAAGTGTAAATTTCACATCTTGTTCTTTCCTCACTAGACCTATGGTGCTCTGAACACAGTAAATCCTCAAACGTTTGTTCCATTTGAGTAAGAGTTACAGTAGCTTTACTAAAATGGAGGGCTCTTATATCCAGCACTTAATGTAGACTGTATGATAGAATAGCTAGTTAAATAAATTATAAAACACAATGTTAGGTTAGCTTCAGGTTTAGACTTCCCACTCTCCATGGCAAAAGGGCAAGTAATAATAATCTATATAAAAATCTAGCACAATGCACTCCTGACAGGTTTTTCTATCCTAAGAAGTCAAAACCTGAGGCCTCTGCCTCAGGAAACATAAGAGAAAAATCTGTTATTGGAGAATTTAAGGATTTATTCAGGCAGGAAAAAAAAGTCACTCCAACTTTTAACAAGGAGAATGAATTGCTAAGGTTCTCTGCTTTCCATAAGTCCACAGACACCTTCCTTTTTCTAAAATAAAACTGAAAATTTTTGTATTTATAGCTTTCAAAGAAAATGCCTGCCTATTACATACTTTCCATATCAGACATTTTTACTATAAAAGTAAAGCAGCGTATGAATCAACAGACATACATAATATATATCTGCCATCATAAAAAATCCTCTGCAAAATAAGCAGTCTTCTTTATTTGGAACATTGTCCCAAAACTGCAATTGTTCATCTTCCTCAACACTAAACTATGAGTGGAACATTATAGACTGCATTTCTCACTAAACCTCTAAGTATTTATTGCCCTCTACTGGTCTAAGAAAGATTGGTATGAAGTACATCACACTTGGAAATGTTTCAAATCCTGGTAAAGAAATCCTCTTATGAACATCATTTACTGTAAAACGGTGAATAAGAAGTATCACATCCGGGACCTTTTCTGAAGTTTTGAAAAAGACAAGTAATTACTAGATGTTTTAGACATATAACCCCTCCACTCCATGCCCCGTCATTAAATTTCTAAAGAACAAATCTGTGTCTACCTATTCACCCACCTACTGCCAATCTGTGAGAGCAAATCAAATTGTTTTAGGAGCATAGAAAAGGTTACTAAAGTGTTAGGAATGTTTATTTCCATAGGGACAAACTAAACTCAAGGCCCCTTTAATGCCACACTGTAAGGAAAATTATATAGAAACCACTCTTGCACATCTGAAAACATGATCAAGATTAGACACTAGCTATGGGGAACAATTCGGAAAAATATTTCTTAGGACTAACAAAACGAGCAGATCTCACATTTTGATTTCATTAGGGAAAATAGCAAAATAAGTTACTAAAACCTTTTGACTTTTCTAAATATTCTTGCTCTTGTTTAGAGAACACTAGACCTAATCCAAAGCATCGGAAATGTCAACTGTGATGCTGCCACAGATAAGACCTGATAAGATTGCTTAGGGAAATCTCTGGAAAGTTCTGTAAAATCGTAACTAAAATAACCTAGGTTCTGTACTATTTTGAGATTTCTTATTTATCAGTGCATCATATTTTAGAGGGAACTAAGTGGCTCTGGGGACTGGTTATGGAATTCAAAGTGTTTTTGACTGCAAAAGAATCAAGCTATAATATTTTGCTTGCTTAAGTAATTGAAGATGTTCTTAAAAATATAACTCAAATAACCCTCCTTAAAAATGCTTCAGAAACTCGGGTTTTATTAGTTCTAAGTGTCAGGTTCTATTTTTATATTCTTGAGAGAGGGAAGAAGATGAATTTGGAACTATTTTAGGGGTCTGCAAAATTCAGCCTTCTGCTTTTAACTAACAGTTCTCAAAAGAGGACAAAAGCTGAGAACAGTTCTCAATCCCACAGCTTAGTAAATAAAAAATTAAGATAATTTAAATATAGGCCAAAAGGCATCATTTCAGGACAACAGATTCACTATAAATAAGTCCCATATAGAGCAGAGTTTTGTTTACTTCCGAAGGTATCACAAAGAAAGTACACCTATGAAAATACCAGGGAACCAAGCAAAGATGCCAAAGTCTTCAGGTGGCTTAATTATCTAGTTTAAGAAAAAACAAAAAAACATTAAATTAAATTATCATTAACAAAAGAGCCCATGTTAGTTTTCCAGTAAGAGAATCTGAATGATTAATATCTTACCCGGAGAAGTCTTTAATCCAGTCATATTGAACATGTAGATGTTGTCATCTGTGCAATTAGCAAATAAAGTAGAGCCAGTGGAATCCAAAATCAAACTTGAGTATCCTAGAAAAAACAATCTTCAGTTAGCATGTCCTGATTATGTATACATATGAGGCTAAAATGTAGAGGCAAAATTAGATCATTCCACAAGAGTCATCAGAATTCTTTGTCCTCTAAATATATAAACCAAAAATATGCTTGAGTTTTTATCCTTTGAAGTTTAAAAAGATGCAAACACACTTTATAAGTTCTCAAGCCTATGTTGCTAAAAAGTAGCCTAATTTATTTATTTTTTTTTGGATACTGTCTTTTAAAAATTTTAACAACTCAAATCTTCCCCCCAAAATTGCACAATCTAGGAAAAGGCTTACCTAGTTTTCGTGTGCTGCTGCCTGGGTACAGGAAAGACTTGGACGCTATTGGTTCTTGTCGATAAGCAGTATAATTCTTACGCAAATCCCATACCTTGATTATCCTAAAAAAGAAAAAACCAAGACAAATGTTTCTTTGCAGATCTTCTCCTAACTCCAAACAACTTCAATTACATGGAATGTGAAATGACTTTTAATCTAACTCCTCTGACACATTCACCAGGTACAGTGAGGACATCTCATTGGGAAACAAATTGAACTATCTCATACCGTCATCTCCAATGTTAGACTTACAGTTCTGACAGATCGGAAACAGATGTGATTTGACCCAGTGATGAGTTACCGGAGTTTACTCCAAGGGAACGGAAAAGGAAGCTGAAGGTAGAGTGCTGATAGTCACTGTTCCATTGTTTTTAGAAAAAACACTTCCTAAGCCTTTAATACTCTGCATATATCCTCTGACATCACAAGCAGCAAGCTCTGTCCTTATGGTTGTAATATTTCTTCACATAACTCTTTAAGTAACCTAAACAAATTTTCTTGTAAAATATAGAAAAACACTTTTTCATTTCATCTATTGATATAATTGTCTTAATCCTCTACTTGCACTTTGTGGACAACTTGAAAACACAAACTTGATATAAAATGGCAGTATGAAATATAAATATAAAGTGTAAAACAGCTCTCACAGATATTCACAAATATAACCCGTAACTTTTAGATTTTTCTATAATTGAAGCAGCAGGTAACACTGGTCCTATAAGTTTCACAGGTGTTATTACATTTAATTATTTGAGCAAAAGTTCTAACTCCATCTTTTCTAGTGTAACCTCTAGTTCTTCTTCTCAGCTGGGGTACTATGTCAAAAGTTAAAACCACACATTCATTTATAAAGAAACTAAGTGACTTCATCAAAAGAACCAAGAAATAAAGACTCTTACCCATCCACAGCTCCTGCAGAGACCAAAGTATTCTCATCTTGAAAAAGGACAACAGTAACACTCTGCTGGAAATCCTAACAGCACAAGAAAAAGAAAAGGAGGAAATTCTACCTTAGGCATTATAATCTTCACCATCAAAACAAAGTATCAGAATATGGCTCCCTCCCTCCCTCCTCCAAACTCTGAAGTAGATTAAAGCTTCTCTTTTCAATAATCCTAATTAGGTATACAAACACATTTCCAAAAGTTCTTGGAAAATGGAAATTTATTTTAGTGCACAAAATTTTTAAATCCACAGACAGCTGTTTCATAATACATATTTTCCAGGAATTTTCTGAAGACCCTTACGTAGATTCTGAAGAAAATGACCTAAATATCATTAAGTTATAGTACATAGTGTTAATACTTTAACTTGTACTCAAGAAACAAACTGGTGATTACAAGATTTTATTTCAAAAGAAAGTAAAAGAAAGAAAATAACTAACAAAAGTGGCTGGTCCTCATTCCATAAAGCCAGAACTTCTACTGGGTCTACTTAGAACAGCCAATCTAAACTGTGTCATCTTAGAAAACTGTACACATTTTTTCCCTATTCACGTTCCATTTACAAAATGTTGCTGTCTACCTATATTATTATATAGGAGTCTCTAAAGAATTATGGATCAAAGATTATATGCTCTGAAAAAGTTAAAAGAGACTTGTGAAATTTTTATTGCTATTACCTAAAAGATTCTCGAAGCTCAGAATCTGATTAAATGTCTGAAATTTTAAAACACTTTAACGTCATTTGGACTCCACAGACCACTGTTTTCACTCATTTCTGTATTCCATTCATGGACAGGAGATACAGTTTTAAGTCCTTTTGTTTTGGTAACCATACTTGCCCAAAAATACTTTGATCCCACAAGTCAAGTATATTTGAAAGTGAAACGCATTAAATTCACACTAACTTGTTTCGGGTCTGAACAGGACCTAGTTTGAGGGACTAAGAAGGGTAAGACACTAGTTTGAAAAGAAGCCCATCAGAGCAATATGAATTCTGCTAAAATTGAAGCAATTTTATGACGAGGCTTAAGAGAAAGAATGGAGCAATCATTAATGCTTTATGAAAAGTTTATAGGGAGCTTCCAAGATGGCAGAGTAGGGGAGCTTACTGCTCCAGTCTAGAAGTTAGTTTTAAAAAAGTGGAGAGTGCAGTCTCCAGCAAGAGGTAGGGAGAAAATGGCAGAGGAAACTCTAATCAAATTAGAGGGACATATGTAGAGGGTGTGGATGCCTGCAACTCAGGACCCCAGCAGCCGAGAGCCTATCCACCAGTGTTGGAGAGTGAGGTAAGACAAGACAGCAGCAGCCCAAGCCACTGGCGATAAAGCTGCAGGAAGAGTCTAGAGGGAACCTGGCTTGGAGCCCCATAAGGGACAGTGTACCTGTCAAATTAGAGAAGGAAAAAAGCAAAAACCCCTGATCACTTTACAATGGTGTCCTGTAACAGGCTGATAGAGGGGGCACCATTTTGGATGTACGTTAACAGCTACGCCAGCTTGTGTCTGTGCCTAGCAACCAGCTGGGTAGAGACTCCTGACTGGTGGGGAGAACTAACAGGGGGCTGGGTGCTTGTAACTATGGGAGGCTTGGGTACCAGGACTGTGAAAAAAACCGAGGCTGTGTGGGAGGATTCGTGGTGTGGCTGGGACTTTGGGCAGTCACTGTGGGAGACTCCACATGCTCAGGGCTTCCTGGTCACCTGGTGAAGGACACTGCTGAGGAATCTAAGCCTACACTGAGAACTGCACAGTTCCTTTGTGTGGTTCTTGGGCAGAGTGGGTGAATATTATACCCATTGGGGCTAGTGCTCAGGCTCTGGTCTCCATTGAGGAGAGGAGCTCAGCTGAGCAGAATAAACTTACCTTCTGATTAAAAAAAAGGTTTACCATGACAAACCTTGGTGTGTCACCTTAGACATGCCCTTCGTACTAGAGAACTGAAGAGCTTCCTGGCCAACCCACCACATGCTTCTAGATATTCACCGAAAGCAGACACTCCACTTATCTACAGAGGCATAGTACAAAGATAAAAGCCACTGCATTGAAAAAACAAAGAAACCAATGAGTATCTCCACAAATGCTGAATAACAAATGAACCAGTTCAAGAAAGAATAAGGAACAATATGACATTCCAAAAAGAACACATTTCAATACTAGACTGTGAAGATGATATTGAAGAAATGCCAGAAAATAGAATTCAAAAAATTGATAAGATTACATAGCAGTAATCAGAAGCAAATGCATAAACTACTGAAATCGACATGATATGAAAGAAAATTTCTCCCACAAAATTGAGATCTTAAAGAGAAATCAAAATCAAATGAAGAATTCAATAGAACAAATAAAAAAATGCAGTAGAAGCCAGCGCTGTGGCTCACTTGGCTAATCCTCTGCCTGTGGCGCCGGCACCCCAGGTTCTAGTCCCGGTCGGGGCACCGGATTCTGTCTTGGTTGCTCCTCTTCCAGTACAGCTCTCTGCTGTGGCCCGGGAAGGCAGTGGAGGATGGCCCAAGTGCTTGGGCCCTGCACCTGCATGGGAGATCAGGAGGAAGCACCTGGCTCCCGGCTTCAGATCTGCGTAGCACCCCGGCGGTAGCGGCCATTTGGGGGGTGAACCAACGGAAGGAAGACCTTTGTCTCTGTCTCTATCTAACTCTGCCTGTAAAAAAAAAAAATGCAGTAGAAAGCCTAAACAGAATTGGTGAAGCAGAAGGAAGAACATCCAACTTAAAAGACAAAGCACAGAAAATTATACAGTCAAAAAAAACAAGAAGAGGAAATTAGAAAACTAAAAACCACCACTGGGAATCTATAGGATACTATCAAAGGACCCAACCTAAGAGGTCTAGGAGTTCCTGAAGGCATGAAGAGAGGATTAGAAGGCCAAATAATAACAGAAAAGCTCCTTAATTTGGATAAAGAAAGGGACATCCAGTACAGGAAGTACATAGAACTCCTAATAGACATGATCAGAAAAGATCTTCACCACAAAATGCTGTATTCAAACTCACCACAGTAAACCATAAAGAAGAGATTCTAAAATGTGCACAAGAAAAACACAAGATTACCTTCAGAAGATCTCCAATTACACTCATAGTGGACTTTATATGGAAACTCTACAGACTAGTAGAGAATGGTGAAATATATTCTAAGTCTTAAAGAGAAAAAAACTGTCAACCCAGAATACTATAAACTGCAAAGTTCTCATTTATGAACGAAGGTGAAAAAAAGACCTTCCATAATAAAAGAAATTGAAATAATTTGTTATCACCCATCCAGCCCTACTCAAGATGCTTAAGGATGTGCTGCACACAGAAACACGGTCATCACTACAAAAGAAGGTAAAGGAGGAAAATCTCCCAGTAAAAATTCAAAGGAAATTCAAAGTAAAATACAGAAATATTTTCGGGAAAATGGTAGGGCCAAGTCGTTACTTAATTTGAATGTAAATGGCCTCAATTCTTCAGTTAAAAGACACAGACAACCGGCTGAATGAATTAAAAAACAAAACCCATCTACCTGCTGCCTACAAGAAACACATCTCACCAACAAAGATGCATGCAGACTGAAAATGAAAGGATGGAAAAAGATATTCCATGCCTACAGAAACCAAAGAAGAGCTGGTGTACACAAAAACTGTTAGAAAAAGAAGGGCACTATTTAATGATTAAGGGATCAATTCAACAGGAAGATGTCACTATTATAAACGTATATGCACCTAATTACAGGAAACCTGGATATTTAAGGGAACTAAAGGGAGCCAGACTCCAATACAATAGTAATGGGGGACTTCAATACCCCACTTTCAGCAATGGACATATCAACCAGACAGAAAATAGGCAAGGAAACAGCAGAGTTAATCCATACTTTAGATCAAATGGCTCTAACAGATATCCACAGAACTTTTCATCCTACAATTGCATAACATACATTCTTCTCACCAGTGCATAGAACTTCCTCTAGCATTGACCACATGCTAGGCCATAAAGCAAATCTCAGCAAATTCAAAAAAATCAAAATCATACCATGCATCTTCTCAGACCACAATGGAATGAAGCTGGAAATCATCAATTCAGGAATCTCTAGAATATATGCAAACACAAGGAGACTGAACAACATGCTCCTGAATGAATAGTGGTTCATAGAAGAAGTCAAAAGAGAAATCAAAACATTTCTGAAAACAAATGAAGGTGACAATACAACATATCAAAACTTACAGGATATAGTAAAAGCAGTGTTAAAAGGAAAGTTTGTAGCAATTGGTGCCTACATCAAGAAATTGGAAAGGCACCAAATAAATGAGCTATCAATGTATCTCAACGATCTAGAAAAACAACAGCAAATCAAACCCAAAACTTGTAAAAAAAGAAATAATTAAAATTAGAGAAGAAATCAACAAAATTGAATCCAAAAAACAATACAAAAGATTAGCAAAATGAAGAACTGGTTTTTTGAAAAAAGTAACAAAATTCATAAACCATTGGGCCAACTAACAAAAAAAGGAGAGAAAAGATCCAAATCAAAATTAGAGATGAAAAAGGAATCTAACAACAGACACCACAACAATAAGATTCATCATCAGAAATTACTACAAAGAGCTGTATGCCAGCAAACTGGGAAACCTAGAAGAAATGGACAGATTCCTAGACACATACAACCTACCTAAAATGAGCCATGAAGACACAGAAAATCTAAGCATGGAAGCTTATCTGGTATCTGGTACCCGATAAGGATGCCCAGTCTCACTACTGCTACTCAATATAGTCCTAGAAACTTTAGCCAGAGCCATTAGACAAGAAAAAGAAATCAAAAGGATACAAATTGGGAAGCAGGAAGTCAAACTATCCTTATTTGTAGAAGACATGATTCTATATATAGGGGATCCGAAAAAATCCACCAAGAGACTATTGGAACTCTTCTATCAGTTTGATAAAGTAGCAGGATATAAAATCAATTCACAAAGATCAACAGCCTTTATATATACAGACAATGCCAAGGCTAAGATTGAACTTCTAAGATCAATCCCATTCACAATAGCTACAAAAAAATCAAATACCTTTGAATACATTAAACCAAGGGTGTCAAAGATCTTTACAATGAGAATTACAAAACAAGAAAAAGTGATACAAAAAAATGGAAAAATTTTCCGTGTTCATGGATTGGAAGAATCAATATATCAAAATGTCCGTTCTTCTGAAAGTAGTTTACACATTCAATGCAGTACCAAACAATATACCAAAGACATGATGCTGAAATTCATATGGAGGCACAGGAGTGGAGGCACAGGAGACCTTGAATAGCTAAAGCGATTTTATACAACAAAACCAAAGCCAGAGGCATCACAATATCAAATTTCAAGACATACTACAAGGCAGTTATAATCAAAACATCCAGGTACTGCTACAAAAACAGATGGACAGACCAATGGAAAAGGATAGAAACACCAGAAATCACTTCAAGCATCTACAACCAACTTATATTTGACCAAAGAGCTAAAACCAATCCCTGGAGCAAGACAGTCTCTTCAATAAATGGTGCTGGGAATTTAATAAATGGTGTTGGATTTCCACATGCAGAAGTATGAAGCAAGACTTCCTACTTCACACCTCACACAAAAACCCACAGAACATGGATTAGAGATCTAAATCTATGACCCGACACCATCAAATTATTAAACAACACTGGGAAACCCTGCAAGACATTGGCACAGGCAAAGAGTTCTTGGAAAAGACCACAGAGGCAAAGGTAATCAAAACCAAAATTAACAAATGGGATTACATCAAACTGAGAAGTTTCTGTACTGCAAAAGAAACATCAGGAAAGTGAAGAGGCAACCAACAAAATGGGAGAAATTATTTGCAAACTATGCAATTGATAAAGGGGTTAATAACCAGAATCACAAAGAGTTCAAGAAACTCCACAACAAAACAACCCCATTACACAATGGGCAAAGGACTTAAACAGGCATTTTTCAAAAGAGGAAATCCAAATGCACAACAGACATGTGAAAAATTGCTCATGATCACCAGCAATCAGGGAAATACAAATCAAAACAATGAGGTTTCACCTCACCCCAGTTAGAATGGCTTTCATACAGAAAACAACAAACAATAAATTTGGCGAGGATGTGGGGAAAAAGGTACCCTAATCCATTGTTGGTGGGAATGTAAGCTGGTAAAGCCACTATGGAAGACAATATGGAGATACCTCAAAAATCAGAATACAGACCTACCATATGTCCCAGCCATCCCATTCCTGGGAATTTACCCAAGGGAAACGAAATCAGCAAATAAAAGATTTATCTGCACTCCCATGCTTATTGCAGCTCAATTTACAATAGCTAAGACATGGAATCAACCTAAATGTCCATCAACAGAAGACTGGATAAAAAAATTATGGGATATGTACACTATGGAATACTAAACAGCAGTTAAAAAAAAGTGAAATCTGGTCATTTGCAACAAAATGGATGAATCTGGAAAACATCATACTTAGTGAAATAAATCAGTTCCAAAGGGACAAATACCATATGCTCTCCCTGATCTGTGAGAACTAATAGAGCACCTAACACAAAATCTGTAGAAGTGAAATTGACTCTTTGAGAAGGAAAGACTTGAGCTCCCTTTGTCTTGACTGTCAAGGAACAGTTTCATTTTTTTTGTTTTCATACTATTTGTTGAACTCTCAACATAGTTAATCTATGTATATAAAGTCAATTGAAGATGAATCTCAGTAAAGAATAAGAATGGGAGTAAGAGAGGGAGGAAGAAGTTTGTGACTGTAAAGCTGTATAGTTCTGCATACATTCCTATTAACTTACTTCTAAGGGTACAGTTTAAAAACTTGTAATGGGAGCCGGCGCCGTGGCTTAATAGGCTAATCCTCCACCTAGCGGCGCCGGCACACCGGGTTCTAGTCCCAGTCGGGGCGCCAGATTCTGTCCTGGTTGCCCCCTTCCAGGCCAGCTCTCTGCTATGGCCCGGGAGTGCAGTGGAGGATGGTCCAAGTGCTTGGGCCCTGCACCCCATGGGAGACCAGGAGAAGCACCTGGCTCCTGCCATCAGATCAGCTGGCTATTGGAGGGTGAACCAACAGGAAAAGGAAGACCTTTCTCTGTCTCTCTCTCTCACTGCCCACTCTGCCTGTAAAAAACAAAAAACAAAAAAACTTGTAATGGGACCCCAAAGCCTATTCAGTCAGGTGGTAAAAATGCCATCTTAAGTGTTAAAGTGAACATATAGATAGGATTAAGTGTTAACATGATTATATAAATAGGATCAAGTGTCTGGTAATAATAACAGATAGAATTAAAAAGAAGAGCATGTTCTAACATGGGAAGCAGTCCACACAGCTGACTCATGGAATGACAATTGTGTTAAGTAACACTCTGACCTCAGAATCAGCTCTTAAGACTTCCTGGTCTGGCTGAAAAGTCCATGAAAGCATTTCAGGCATGGAAAGCCAAAGCACTGTGGCAAAAAACAGTCTACCTGAAGGATCTCTGTGATTGAAACCCCAGCAGAAAGAAGTGGCCATTAAAGAAGGAGGTACTTTTCTCTGAAGGGAAGAGAGAAATTCCATTTGCTTATGACTTTGTCTAAATACTGACCGAGTCTGTGGATTCAAAAGGCTTCCATAACCTAGGCAGCTCATGTCAAGGTGTTGTTTGTTAAATTACCAGGAGTCACTGTGCACACCCCATGCAGGACCTCTGTCCTCAATGAGTTGTATTATGAGACTTAATTGTAAAACTAGTTTTGTGTGCGTGTGCGTGTATACAGCTGGTCTTCTGTATAAAAAGTTAATTGAAAATGAATCTAAATGGAGAATGGGACTAGAAGGGGAGAGGGAAGAGTGGGAGTGTGTTGGGAGGGCAGGTATGGTAAAGAATCACTATATTCCTAAAGTTATACTTATGAAATTTGTTTTCCCTAAAAATTAATTAATTAAAAAAGTTTAAGGGACAATGTACCAGAGAAATCAGCAGTTTACAAATTATTATCATTTTAAGAAGGTACAAGATGTTGAGGATGAAGCCTATAGTGGCAGACCATCCACATTAATTCTCCAGAAAAGGGGCTGGTGTTGAGGTGAAATGGATAAATCCAGCCTTTCATACTGGGCACAGGTTCATGTCCCAGCTGATCCACTTCCGATCCAGCTGTCTGCTAATGCACCTGGGAAGGCAGCAGAAGATGGCACAAGTGCTTGAGCCTCTGCCACCAATGTGGGAGAGCTGGATGAAGCTCCTGGCTTTGGCCTGTCTCAGCCTTTGCCATTGTGGCCATTTGGGGGAATGAACCAGCAGATGGAAAATCTTTCACTCCCTGTAATTCTGCCTTTCAAATACATATATACATAGATTTTTAATAAAAAAATATTTCCAGAAAGAAATCTCATTTGTGCCCTGAGGAGCACCAATGGTTAACAGAAACAATAGCCAATACTTTCAATGAAAATTTTAAACAACTGTGGTGAAGATCCTAAAGCAGATTTTGAAAGAACTATAATATGTGATGAAACATGCCTTCACCAGTATGATCCCAAAAACAAAAAACAAAGCAAATGGCTACCAAGAGGCAAATGTGGTCCAGTAAAGCAAAACCAGCCCGGTGAAGAGCAACGGTTATGATGTTTTGTTGGGATACTCAAGGATTTTATTGACTTTATGGAGGGCCAAAAACCATCTGCTTAATATGACAGTGTTTTGAGAAAGTTAACCAAAGCATTAGCAGGAAAAGCTTCACCAGGCAGTCCTTGCCTACCATGACAATAGTCCTGTTCATTCTTCTCATCAAACATGGCTACTTTTTTGAGAATTCTGATGGGAAAACTTTTAAGCATCTACTTTTACAATTCTGATTCACTTCTTTCTGACTTCTGCCTCCTAATCTTAAAAAAAAATTCTTTAAAGGGCACCCATTTTCCTTCAATTAATGTAAAAAAGAATGCACTGACGTGGTTGAATTCCCAATACCTTCAGTTCTTTAAAGCTAGGCTAAATGCTGTTATCAGGCACTTACAAAAGTGTCTTGAACATGATGTAGTTTATGTTGAAAAAATAAAGTTTATGTATTGTTATCTTTTAATTCCATTTTCCCACAAACCTTTCAAGGTTTTATTATATATTTAATAATTTACTTGATATTTGAAAAGAATACAAAATTCACAGCTTCTCTGTAGTTTGTATTATGAAAACAGGGATTACTTTACCATATAATACTATATAATAGTACCTAACATTCTTTTTCAAACAACTCTCACCCCTTTTCCTAATGAATCACATTATACAAATACTGTAGTAAATATGTACAGAAATCGCTATAGAAGAGGGTCAGGAAATTGAATATTTAACATATTACCCAGGTAATTCTAATGCATGCTTAAGTTTGAAAACCACTATTGTAAGCGTTAAATAAGCAACAAATCGCTTATACTAAAAGGATATGAAGACTCTCATTCACCTAATCCAAAACTCCCATTTTCATGCCCAGAAATTCCCTAAAATGAGATTCTATCCTACTGTTAAGAACTATACATATGTATACATTACGAAATCTTACCACAGAAGGAGCAAGTCCTTTTGCATTCTGTTTCTTTTTGGGTTTTGAAGGGGTGTGTTTGTCTGAGGTATTGTGTGCTCCACTGATTTGATTCACTTGCCTATAAAAACCATCTGAAAGATATTCCAAGGAAATTGACTTGATTTTAAATGTTGATCTCACGCTGAATATCATGTAACATTTACATATAAGATCTTAAAATTAAGCAATTTCTGACAAGATTAGTGAAATCAGAGATTAGCAGAGTCAGCTGTGCTAGATCTCCTGTGGTGAGGTCATAATGTATATAAAAAAGAGTAAGCACAGAGATGTTTATATTAACTTTATTCGTAACTGCTAAAAATGGAAGCAACCAAGATTTCCCTCAAGAGGTGAATGGATAAAATGTTGTAAATCCAGACAATGTAATATTATTTAGCACAAATAAGAAATGAGCTTGGGGCTGGCACTATGGCACACAGGGTTAAGGTGCCAACATCTCATATGGGTTCTGGTCCGAACGAGTCCTGCTGCTCCAATTCTGATCCAGTTCCTTGCTAATGTGCCTGGGAAGGCAGTGGAGGATGGCCCAAGTCCTTGGACCCTTGTACCCACGTGGAAGACCTAGAAGAAGCTCCTGGCGTCAGATTGGCTCAGATATGGTCATTGGAGCCATTTGGGGAGTGAAAACAGCAGATGGAAGACCTCTCTCCCTCTGCCTCTACCTCTCTCTATAACTCTCTTTCAAATAAATAAATCTTTAAAAGGAAAAATGAACTTGATAAGGCCATAAACAAAAACTTAAATACATACTAAGTGAAAGAAGTCAATCTGAGATGTTTATGCACTCTACAATTCCAACTATATAACACTTTAGCAAATATAAAACCATGAAGACAGCATAAACATCAGTGGCTGCCAGGGCTTACTGGGGAGATAAGGATGTGTAAGTGGAGCACAGACTATTTTCAGGGCAGTGAAACTATTCTGTATATTACTACAATGGCAGATACATGTCATACATTTGTCACTATCTATACACTGTATAACATCAAAAGTGAACCCTATGGCATCCCATATGGGCTCCAGGTTCTAGTCCTGGTTGTTCCTCTTCCAGTCCAGCTCTCTGCTGTGGCCCAGGAAGGCAGTGGAGGATGGCCCAAGTACTTGGGCTCCTGCACCTACACGGGAGACCAGGAAGAAGCACCTGGCTCCTGGCTTCCGATCGGCGCAGCGCCAGCTGTAGTGGCCATTTGGGGAGTGAACCAACGGAAGGAAGACCTCTCTCTCTCTCTCTCTCTCTCTCTCTTTCTCTCACTGTCTAATTCTATCTGTCAAATTTAAAAAAAAAAAAAAAAAAAGTTAACCCTAATTTAATCCATGGACTTTGAATGAAAATGATGTGTCAATACAGGTTCACCTATTACAATGTATGTACCATTCACACAATATATTGGCAGTGGAGAAAGCTGTAGTGTGAGGGCAAGGGATGTATAGAAATAGTACTCCTCACTTCCCTAAAAAATAAATTAAAAAGATTATTAAAATGTTAATAAATTAAAAATAAGCCAGGGAACAATCACTCTCTTAATGGCATTATAGGGAAAAATAAGCTTTCATTTAACCTATTCGTTTAAAACAAAAATTTTCTACAAAAATAAAAGTATATTAGTGAACCTATGCATTAACAGTTTTAATTCCATCAATAATATAGGCAAATATCATTATAAGTCGGAAGGCAACCTGAGGCAAGTATGTGACCAATGATAGTAATTACAATCACTAGGAGCCTGAGAACTGGAACACTGAGCAGAAATGGGAGATTATGAACCCATGGGCCCCCTGGTGGTATTCAGATGAAATCACTAACACTTTCATTCAAAATTATTAAATATGATCCCACATCTATCAAGAGTAAAAAAGAACTAGACTACCTTTTTTGTTGCATCTGGTATCCCAAACCATAATGTTGCCATCTCTTCCACCTGTACAGAATACAGCTGTGGGGAAATAAATAGTTTATCAAGAGGTAAACAAAACCAGTCAATGGCACATGCATTTCAACTTATATTTCCTACAGCATTTTTAAAATTAATTAATTATTTTGAAAGGCAGAGTTACAGGGGGAGATGGAGAGACACATCTTCCATCTGCTGCTGATTCACTCCCCAAATGACCACAACTGGGCCAGGTCAAGGCCAGGAGCCTGGAACTCCATCTGGGTCTCTCACATGGGTGGCAGGAGCCCAAGTACTTGCACCATGTTCTGCTTTCCTAGGCATATGAGCAGGGAGCTAGATTAGAAATAGAGCAGCTGGGACTCAAACTGGCCCATATATGGGATGCTAGCATTGTAGGCGGCAGCTTAACCTTCTATACCACAAGGCCAACCCCAACCTAGAGTATCTATTTGTGCTATGTACAGTATTCAGTACTGCAGATTTAAAATCTTAAAAGTATGTGGCTCAACAACAAACAGAGAAAACTATGAAGAGAAAGGATTGCAAAGAGCTCAAGATGTTTATACGGAATAAAACTTCACAGAATAATCAAAGGGGCTGGTGTTGTGGTGCAGCAGGTAAATCCACTGGCATCCCATATAGGTGTGTGTTTCAAGACCTGGCTGTTCCACTTCCAATCCACCTCCCTGCTAAAGTGCCTGGGAAAGCAGCAGAAGACGGCTCAAGTTCCTGGGCCCCAACCACTCACGCAGGAGACCCAGATGAAGCACTTGGCTCTGGCCTGTCCAGCCCTGGCTATTGGAACTATCTGGGAAGTGAACCAGAGGACAGATGATCTTTTTCTGTCTCTCACCTTTCAAATAAATAAATAAATCTTAAAAAAAAAAACAAAAAAACAAAAAAACAAACTATGAATGACAACATACTAATTAGCCTAAGCACTATATATTTCTCCATAGACTTTACATAAATTGTCCCAATCCTTTCCACCAACCATATTAGGTATTATCCTCCTCATTTTATAGATGTGAAAACCAGGGCAGAGAGAGGAAAGGTAATTTGTAAAAGTATTATTGGCAGTATGAATCCAGGGCCTATACTCCAAACAAGCTATACCATCTTAGTATAAAAATATAGACCAGATCCATATGAACTTTGTAGAAAGGTACTGACTCTAAGATCGAAACAGGGCAATAGGCTTGAAGAAGAGAGTATTTATCTGTAATGTTTTATTCTTTAAAACTAAAACAAACGAACAAAAAAAAACAACCACTTCTCCCTGTATGAAAGGGTGAACACTTAACAAACCAACGTACTTGTATTAGCTGTAAACTAGACAAAACACAAAAAACTACCTGACAGCTCTGCAGGGACTGAAAAAAACATGCACATTTGGAGGGGAATCAACATCTGAAGCAAGTGATTGGCTGGTGCTAAATTATTTATTTTGTGGCTTTATTTTGAAAGCAGTCATAGCCTCAACATCAATATAAGGTATCTAAAATGTCAACAGAAAAAATTCATCTTGTGTTGAATTAGAGGAACCAGAAAAAAAGAGACTGAGGGCAACAAAAGCACTCAAGAGAGTGAAATCATTGGGACTGGCCCTGTGGCATAACTGGTAAAGCTGCTGCCTGAGGTGCTGGCATTCCACATGGGTGCCAGTTCATGTCCTGGCTTCCCCACTTCCAATCTAGCTCCCTGCTAAACAGCCTAGGAAAAACAATGGAAGATAGCTCAAGTATTTGGGCCCCTGCCACCCACATGGGTGACCCAGATGAAGCTCTTGGCACTTGGCTTGGTCCAGCCCTCGCCAATGCAGCCATCTAGAGGGTGAACCAGTAGATGGAAGATCTCTCTTTGGGAGGAGAAAAAGAAAAGAGATGTTGACGGGACCCTAAGAAGAGCAAGAAAAAGAGAACCCCTAATTCTGCATTTAAACTCAGTTCAAGCGTGTAGCTGTCCCTAAACAATATGTGCAAAGGGCCAACACTGTGGCAAAGCAGGTTAAACTGCTACCTTTAGCACCAGCATTCCGTATGGGCGCCAGTTTACATCTAGCCCACACCTCGCTGCTCCACTTCCGATCCAGCTCCCTGCTAACGCACCTGGGAAAGCAACGAAGGATGGCCCAAGCGCTTGGGTCCTCACACCCACGAAGGAGATCTGGGAGAAGCTGTTGGCTTTGGACTGGCCCAGCAGTGGCCGTTGTGGACATTTGGGGAGTTAACTAGTGGATGGATAATCTCACTTTCTTTGTCTCTCCCTCCCCATCTCTGCCTTCAGAATAAATAATAAATCTTAAAAAATTAATTAAATATGCAAGAGAAAATTGAAAGTCAGCCTTGAACAAAAAGATTGAATTGAGATATGATGCTCTCCTGCATACGTGACTGTCCATATCTGACTCTAAATGAATTGCTTATCAAACCAGAAACTCTTTTTTTAAACAATATAACTGACTCCAATATACCATTCACAATGTCCAGGATATTATTGTAAATTATTTGACATAAAAGAGGCAGGAAAATGGCCAGGTATTCTCAGGGGAAAGGAATCAACTCCAAAATAACTCAGATGATAATTTATCAGATGAAGTTGTAATGCAGACACAACTAAGTCAAATAAAACTTTGTAGTTGATGACAATGTGGTGAAACACAGTAGAGCATCAAATAAATAGTATTAAAAAAGAGGAAATTTGAGAACTTAAAAAAAATATCTGAAATGATAAAAGACTTGCAAGATAGGCTTAGAAAGAGACCTGAGAGTCAGTGAACTTGAAGACAAATAGAAATCACTGAATTTGAAAAAGAGGAGAAGGAGTGAACATTTTGCTAAGTGAAAGCAGCCAGTTACATTAGGCTACAATTGTATCTATTTATATTTATGTGTATTTAGAATCAAATGTATAGAAAGAAAGCAGTATAGTGGTTGCAGAGGTTGCGGTGAGGGGGCAGATGGAAAGTACTAACAGGTTTGAGTTTCTTTTTGGCTAATGAAAATATTCTAGTGCTAGCTGTACAACTCTGAGTAAACTGAAAACCATTAAAATGAATACTTTAAGTGGGTAAATTTTATGCTATGTGCTTCTGTTTGAATATAGTTTGCACCCTCTAAAACTCAATGTTGAAATCTGAAATTGTCACTGTGGTGGAATTGCTAGGCAGGGGTGATTGAGTCATGAGGCCTCTGCACTAATTAATGGATTAATTCCCTTATGGATTGATGGGTTATCATATGTGTGGGTCTGTTATAAAAGTGTGTTCTCAGAGCAGGCATTGCGGTATTTTTGATGCCTACATCCCAAACTGGAGGCCGGTTCAAGTTTTTGCTGCACCGCTTCCAATATAACTCCTTGCTCAGGTCCTGGGAAGGCAGCATATGATGATCCAAATATTTGAGGCCTGACAACCTGTAAGGGAGAACAGGATAGAGTTCCTGGCTCCTGGCTTCAGTCTGGCCCATCCTTGGCTTAGCCCTGGCTGTTCTGGCCATTTGGGGAGTTGAACAAGCTGATGGAAGACCTCCCTCTTGATCCCTCTCCCTGTTGCTCTGCCTTTCAAATAAGTAAATAAATGAAATTTGAAAAATGATTTTTCAGAGCAGACATTTGGCCTAGCAGTTAAAGCACTGCTTAGGATGCCCATATCCTGTATCAGAGTGCCTGGTCTTGAGTCCTGGCTCCACTCCCCAATTCTAGCTTCTTGCTCATGCACACCCTGGGAGGGGAACAGGTGATGGCTGCTGGGTTGCACCACACACATGTAGACCTGGACTAAGTTCCCGGCTCTTGACTTCAACCCCAGCCCAGCCCGAGCTGCTGTGAGCATTTAGGGAATAAACTAGCAGATGGTGTAGCAAGAAGGCCTTCATCAGATGCTAGGGACATCCTCTTGGACTTCCCAGCCTCAAAGTAATGAGCTAAGCAAATTTCTACTCTTTATAAATTACTCAATCTCAGGTATTTTGTTATTGCAACAGAAAAGAAAGAGTATGTTACTTACATATCACATTTCAGAAAACAGACAAACAATACAACCTTAAGGATTTATGAGACTATAATATATGGGGGTAATTGGAGTCAGAGAAGGAGGGAGAGAAAACAAGTGAAATAGGCACAAAAAATATTTCAGGAAATAATAGCAGAAAACTTCTCAATTCAATGAAACACAGGTTTACAAATTCAAAAAGTTCAGCAAAACCCAAATAGGGTAACTTTGAAGGGAATCATGACCAGTTACACCACAAACTCCTTAAAAACAAAGAGAAAATTTTCTAAGTGGTCAGGAAAAACACATACAGAGAAAGATTTCAATGATCACAGTTCTCAGTTATCATGGGATAAAACCATGGAAGACAGTGGAATAGTATCTTCAAGTAATTAAAAGGAAAAAAAAAAAACAAAACCTGTGAACACAGAATTTCGTCTTCAACAAAAGCACCCTTTAAGGATGAAGATGAAGGCCGGCGTCGCAGCTCACTAGGCTAATCCTCCGCCTGCGGCACCGGCACCCCAGGTTCTAGTTCCGGTTGGGGCACCGGATTCTGCCCCGGTTGATCCTCTTCCAGCCCAGCTCTCTGCTGTGGCCCAGGAAGGCAGTGGAGGATTGCCCAAGTGCTTGGGCCCCTGCACCCACATGGGAGACCTGGAAGAAGCTGCTGGCTTCAGCCTGGCTCAGCCCTGGCTGTTGTGGCCATTTGGGGAGTAAGCCAGCAGATGGAGAGCTCCCTTTCTCTCTAACTCTGACTTTCAAATAAATAAAACTTAAAAAAAAAAAAAAAAAGAAAAGAAAAGAAAAGAAAAAGAGAGAACGCGATATCCAAGTAATTTTATAGGAGAGGAAATAAAAATTGATTTTATTGATCCACCAATTCTAATACCCTCTTTTCCGTCACACAACACATATATCTTTAATTCAATTTTTCTTGCTTGTAGGTCACAGATATTTAGGGAAGACTGTAAACTCCACACGGACATATGACTATGTCCAATTAGGATTATATGTATACTACCCATGCAGGGCTCAAAGAACAGAACCAGTGGTCTTTTTTCACCATACTACCTACAAAAAACCTACAAAACACTAAGCATTTATATAGTTCTCAATTTTTAAAAATGCATTCATATCTCATGCTTATGCTTACAGTATTTTTATGAGTTAAATAGAATACATATTAATCTTACCAAATGAGGAAGTGAAGAACCAAGAGAGAATAATGACTTTGCTCAACAGTTTAGAGGCAGAATTAAGACTAAAACACAGAGTTCCTACACATGGTCATAAAAGTGGTTCTACACAAGGGTATATGTCTGAAAGAGTGAGTGAGGCTAAAATCTAATCTGTTTCACCAACCAAATCATGGGGCTTTGTAGACCATTTTCCTTTTTCAGTATTATTATTATTATTTTGCAGGCAGAGTTAGACAGTGAGATAGAGAGAGACAGAGAGAAAGGTCTTCCTTCCGTTTGTTCACCCCCCAAATGGCTGCTACGGCCAGCACACTGTGCCGATCTGAAGCCAGGAGCCAGGTGCTTTCTCCTGGTCTCCCATGCAGGTGCAGGGCCCAAACACTTGGGCCATCCTCCAATGCCTTCCTGGGCCACAGCAGAGAGCTGGACTGGAAGAGGAGAAACCAAGACAGAATCCGGCGCCCCGACCGGGACTAGAACCTGGGGTGCCGGTGCCGCAGGCAGAGGATTAGCCTAGTGAGCCGCGATGCCGGCCTTTTAGTATTCTTAAAATTTTCATGACCTTAAATTACTTTTTTTTTTTTTTTTTTTTTTTACAGGCAGAGTGGACAGTGAGAGAGAGAGACAGAGAGAAAGGTCTTCCTTTGCCGTTGGTTCACCCTCCAATGGCCGCCGCGGCCGGCGCACTGCGGCCGGCGCACCGCGCTGATCCGATGGCAGGAGCCAGGAGCCAGGTGCTTTTCCTGGTCTCCCATGGGGTGCAGGGCCCAAGCACCTGGGCCATCCTCCACTGCACTCCTTGGCCACAGCAGAGGGCTGGCCTGGAAGAGGGGCAACCGGGACAGAATCCGGCGCCCCGACCGGGACTAGAACCCGGTGTGCCGGCGCCGCTAGGCGGAGGATTAGCCTAGTGAGCCGCGGCGCCGGCCACTTAAATTACTTTTATAAACTCAGTGTGAACTCTGACACAAGAATAAAACAAATTAGAACACAGGTATTAGGGAATGAACCAGGAGATGGAAGATCTCTCTTGAATAAAATGAAAAATAAATAAAAAAGCACAGTAACACAGAGAAATGGAGAGGAAGAGGGACCAAGACAGAGAGAGATCTTCCATTGGCTGGTTTACTCCCCCAAATACCTGCAACAGCTGGAGCTGGGCTGATCCTAAGACAGGAGCTTCTTCGGAGTCTCCCACCTGGGTGCAGGGGCCTAAGGACTTCGGCTATTTTCTGCTGCCCAGAAGTGGAGCAGCCTGGACTCAAATCCACACCCATATGGAATGCCAGTGCTGCAGGTGGTGGCTTTAATGACTATACCACAATGCTGGCCCCAAATAAAATGTTTTAAAAAGACTAAAAGCAAGAGAATTTGTCAAAGCCTCCCTAACCTTCAGTAACCATCACTCTGACCAGTCAATGGCCATCAACATGTAGACAAACCCTTCTACCAGGAAAAAGACTGACTTTCTCCCACCCAAACACCAACCAGGCCTGACCCTGCTTAACTCATGAGCTGGGGTGTATTCAGGGTGGTACGGCCATAGACAAAAAAGATTGACTTTCTACAGGTTCAGATGATAATTAGCATTTTCTTAAGCAATATGTAGTTTTTACTTACCCTGCAATATCTCCAAGGTATGCTTATAGAGTAAATTTTAACAGAGATTTTAATGTTTGTCTCTATTATACTGAGACTGGTTAATTCAGATACTTCTTTGAGATATAGTCAATGAAAACATACTAGGAAATTGGATCATTGTAAATTTTTAGGTAGAAAATCATGCCATTTTCCAGGTGTCTCACCCCAGCCTCACATTCCACCTAAACTTTACAAGTAAAGTTAAAGTAACTCTATTTTACAAAAAGAATGAACAAGTGGCGAATATAAGATTTGAATTCAATAAACAATGAAAATTAGGGCCAGCACTGTGGTACAACAGGTTAAGCCACTGCCTGCAGGTGCAGGCATTCCATATGTGTGCTAGTTCAAGTCCTGGCTGTTGCACTTCCTTTCCTGCTCCCTGTTAATGTGTCTGGGAAAACAGAGGAAGACAGCCCACGTATTTGGGCTCCTGTACCCACATGGGAGACTGGGAAGAAGCTCCTGGCTCCTGTCTTCAGCCTGATCCAGCCCTGGCTACTGCATTCATTTGGGGAGTGAACCAGCCAATGGAAGTTGTCTCTTCCTCTGTCTCTCTCTCTCTGTAACTCTGCCTTTCAAATAAATAAATATCTTTTTTTAAAAGATTGATTGATTGATTTCTGGGTCTCCCACATGGGTACAGGGACCCAAGCACTTAGGCCATCTTCCACTGCTTTCCCAGGCCATCAGCAGGGAGCTGGATCAGAAGTGGAGCAGCCAGGACTCAAACCAGTGCCCGTATAGGAAGATGGCGCCACAGGATTCTTAACCTACTATGCCACAGTGCCAGCCCAATAAATCTTTAAAACAAACAAAAACATCAAAATTCAACAAAAGTATTGTGACTATTTATAACTGCTAAGTTCTCCTGCAAGATTATAGAAAATAAATTATCTGAAGGCTCTTGGCTTTCAGGGACATGCTGGAGAAAATGTCCTTAAGAATGGGATTAAAACCAACTTAATTTCTTTTGTTTTTTTAAAAAAAATGAATTTATTGAGGGGCTGGCGCTTTGGCGTAGTGGGTAAAGCTGTCGCCTTCAGTGCCAGCATCCCAAATGGGCACTGGTTTGAGAACCAGCTGCTCTACTTCCAATCTAGCTCTCTGCTAATTGAGGCCCAGAGGAAAGTCTTTCAAAGGTAGTTACAGACAGAGAGAGGAGAGACAGATCTTCCATCTGTTGGTTCCCTCCTCAAATGGCTGCAACAGCCAGGGCTTGTGCCAGCTTGAAACCAGGAGCCAGGAGCTTCTTCCAGGTCTCCATGTGGGTGCAGGAGCCAAGGGACTTTGGCCATTATCCATTGCTTTCTCAGGCGCATTAGCAGGGAGCTAGATCAGAAGTGGAGCAGCCAAGTATCAAATCAGTGCCCATATGGGATGCTTGCACTGCAGGTCAAGGCCTTAATCCACTTCACCACAGTGTTGGCCCCAAAACAAACTTAATTTCATTAAGGTTTTCTATCATATTAGAATCTCAATTATCTATGTAGGCAAAGTAGCAACTCTGACAGGGGAAAGGGTAGTAACAATTACAACTTTTCATTTCCCCAAGGTTAAAAAGACAAAACAAGACAAGCACAAACCTACCTTTCTCAAACTTGGAAAATGCAACCGACTTTAGGCTACACTGATGACCTTTGCATGTTCCAAGCAGTTCACCAGCTTTTACATCCCAAAATTTGGCTGTCTGATCACCTGCTGCTGTAACCTTTCAAAAATAAGGTAGCACCATTTAATAAAGTAACTCTTTACCAATATTCACTCAGATTCCAAAAAAAAAAACTTAAGTCACTTACAAGTTTAAATTCACCAGGGACCCAGGCCAGGTCAAACACAGCATTCCAATGAGCCATCCATTCTAAACAAAGAAAATGGCAAGTGTGAAATGTGTATGCACTGTTCTGTAGCAGCCATATCAACAGCAGTTTAAGTGTCTTAAAAGTTGTCATGAAGCAACAGTAAGTCAGAAAGGATTTGTGGACTTGGAGACATTGCACATATCCATCATCACATGAGAATTATCATTTGATGTTAAATTCCTTTCCACGAGTTATCTAGTAATACATTCACTGACACGGCTTTCTAAAACATCCTCCAGTTCAACATTCTTCATTATGCTCTCTGAATGGAATTTAACTTTAGTCTGACATTCAAGGTCCTGCACAGTTTGGCTTTTATCTCTGTTACAAGGCTTATCTCTCACTTATTCTCCAGTTACTTATTCCATCCAAACTACAGAAGGTCTTGAAGGATGAGTAAATTTTCATTGAGTTTAGAGCCAGAGAGCAAGAAATTCAGGGAAGACAAAGTTTATTTTGCTGGGTCAGAGATATACAAAGTGAGCTATGGTCCTAAAAAGTAAGCCATCTTCACAGATCTGTTTTTATTACATTGCTATGTAGGTCAACAAATTTTAAATACATAAAGGCTGAGTATCCCTAATTCAAAAAGTGTGGGACCAGAAGTATATCATTTTCTTATTTCTTTATTGTATCATATGCTTTCTTATTTCCATGCTTTTGCTACTGTTTTTTTTTTTTATACCTAGAGTGCCTTTCTCCATCTCCACTGGTCTGGTCTTAAATAACACAGTTTAGCTCAAATATTACCCTTCTTTGTGAAGAAATTTCTTGGTCTTCTTTATCACATGAGAACTTTCTTTTTGATATCTGTCCTGTTTTTAATGTACTTCTATATCATTATAGTCTGTTTTATTTTAGCAATCTCAACACTTAACTCACTGGTTCCCAATTATCAGCTTCTTAAGATCAACGGAACTTTGCTTCATATATGGAAAATGCTCAATCAATATAAATATTTGAAAGCAAAGCTTCCCCAACCACATTAAGACACTTAACTTTCTTAAAGACTTTTTTTTTTTTAAATCCTAAAATGTATTTGCTTAACTTTCAGTAAAGGCACTGCCATTAACAATCATTGTCAGATAGGTAGTCCACCATTTACTTTCAGCCGGTTCCCTTGCCCATCCCTGGCTGTTACATGCATATGCATTTCGGGGAATGAACCAGCAAAAATGGAAGTTCTCTCTTTTCCTGTCTTTCAAATAAAATTTAAAGATAAATGAAAGCCTGTGCATAAACAAACCTAAGAAATTACAAATCTACACTTACCCTTGAAGCACTTCTTTTTCAAAGTTTGTGATTCTGTGTTGTACAATCTAACGAAGCCTTCTTCATTGGCAACTGCTAGTATGTGCTCCATATTGGGAGCTAAATAAGAGATCAAAAATTAAATATATAAAGAGCAACAAAAAATTTAGTATAAATAAACAAGAATGTATTAAATAACTCAAAATGACCAAAATTATCTTCAATTTCTTATTTAGAGAAGAGCTAAGTGGCAAATAAGGGGACATGATATAGGCCACCAGCAGGTTGAATCTATCGGTTTTAAATTTACAATATTTCACCTCTCTTTTCTTAAACATTTAAGGACGTCTGTTTTGTTTCATATAATCACTAATGAATCAGAGACATATGCAACAAGCTCCAAAGGGTAACTGCTGGGTAAATAGTTTTCATAGTAGCTGAATCTCTGCAACTCTTTCTGAATGTCAATCAAAAAATATGATGCTATAATAGCCCCATGCATTAGGAGAAATATACTTACGTCAATTATGTACAGAGATTAAGGAAATTCTATTACATAAACCAGGAAAGAACAGTTATTAGAAAAACTAACAGTTTATGTTTCTTTGAAAATACAACACTCCAGTATATGTTCCCTCTAAATACAATATAAGTCATTTCTTTTCAAGCCTAGCTTAAATGGTAATTCTCTTACCAGAAGAGAAAGTGCATCCAAAAGGAGGAACTGGGACTCCCGTTTCTCCATAAGAAGTGTGCTCATCATTACAAGTGCATTGATAACCAGTTAGAAGGGATTGTAGAGGGTACTGTGAAGACCATCCTAAAACAACACAATTCTTCATGTAATTCCAATAAAGCATCACATTTCAGAACTTTTAAATATACAGAAGTAAATATTTTTTCTTAAAAAGCTTTTACTCATACATTTAACATGGATCCACTATCTTTACAGTGTTTTACAACACAGTTGCTGGTATCTTCTTATGGGGTCCTATGGAAGAAATTAAGGAGCGCTCCCAACTTCTGGTGAGGTACAGCTCTAGATTTACCACCTTAAGTGGAGACTCTCATTAACAATGTTAATATAGGATTGGAAGAAACAAGTGTTCTTTGCACAGTAAAAAGATCTTACCCTTTCTTCTATCAAAGAGACAACCAAAAAAAGCATTGCCATTAAAAGCATTTCATTAAAAGTCTCTTCAATGAAAATTTTATTATTTTTTGCAGTCTCTAAATTAACAGTACTATAAACTCTACAGTACTACAATCACTAGCAACATAGTCCAATGCCCAGAGTTAAAGAAAACAACATACCACATGCCTGCTATGGCCCATCACATATATTACCAAGTAAACACAAATTTTACTTTCTTTTCTTTTACAATTTCTAAGTTTCTAAAATATTAAGAACAACAAATTATGGTAGATTAAAGCTTACTAGAGGGCCCAGCACTATGGCACAGTGGGTAAAGCCACTGCCTGAAGTGCCAGCATCCCATATGGGCACTGTTTCAAGTCCCAGCTGCTCCACTTCTGATCCAATTCTCCGCTATGGCTGGGAAAGCAGGAGATGATCGTCCAAGTGCTTGGGCCCCTGCTCCCGCATGGGAGACCCGGAAGAAGCTAGTGGCTTCGAATTGGCCCAGCTCTGACCATTGCAGCCATTTGGGGAGTGAACCAGCAGACGGAAGATCTCTCTCTCTCTCTGCCTCCCTGTAACTTTACCTTCCAAATAAATAAATCTTAAAAAAAAAAAAAAAAAAAAAGCTTACTAGAGCAGTTTTAAAGTAAAGCATCATGTTCTTACTTCTAGAAGACATTCAGTTATCCCTGACAGTGGGGAAGGGGGGTGTCTTTAGAGGAGGTCTTGAGTTTAGAGCCAGAGAGCAAGAAATTCAGGGAAGACAAAGTTTATTCTGCTGGGTCAGAGATATGCAAAGTGAGCTATGGTCCTAAAAAAGTAAGCTTCACAGATCTGTTTTTATTACATTGCTATGTAGATCAACAAACTTTAAATACATACAGGCTGAGTAATTCATCTGTATAGCCTTCACTGGCTGAACATCTCCAAATCCAAAAATCTGAAATACAAAATGTTCCCAAACCCAAAACTTTCTCAGCATCATGTGGATTGTGGAACATTTCAGACTTTTGCATTAGGAATGCTATCTTGTAAAACATTCATTCAACCAATAATGACTGAAAACCAAATGCTCATCAAGCACCAGAAGAAAAAAAAATGAGTTTATAATCTACCGAGATCTTTTTAAACACTTTTTAAACATCTTTCTAACACTTTAGGGTACATTCTTTTTCATCAAAAGCACTGTTTGGAGAGGACAGTTTGACAAAACCTCTGAGACACCTAGTTTTAAATGTTCCTAGATAACCACAAGAATTAGTAGAAAGTAGGTAACAAAATGTGACCCAGGAGCTGGCTTTGTGGTGCAGTAGGTTAAGCCTCTGCCTGCAACACTGGCATTCCAAATGCGTGTTGGTTCAAGACCCAGCTGCTCCACTTCCCATCCAGCTCCTTGCTAATGCACCTGGGAAAGCAGCTCAAGCTGGCCCAAGTCTTTGGTTCCCTATACCCATGTGGGAAATCCAGAAGCAGCTTTCGGCTCCAGGCTTTGGCCAGGCCCAGCCCCAGTCATTGAAGCCACTTAGTGAGTGAACCAGCCAATGGAGGATACTCTCTCTCTCTCTCTTCTCCTTTCTCTGTAACTCTTTTAATTAAAAATAAATAAATCTTTAAAAAAAGTAATACAGGTTTAGCAATGAGGCATTACCTTGTTATTTCAGTGTCAGATATCACTGTCAATAAGCTGCTAAACACCACTAAACAAATGTAATGATTAGTTTTGTTGCATTCACAAATATCCACTTACAGAATAAATTTAAAAACAAAAGCCTCTGCCTAAGGTTATGTAAATACACACTTGTGGTTTGGGGTTAAAAAAAAAAAAAAACCCTAATGATGGAGACACATAAACTCAAAAGGATATCTTGCTGGAATTGAAGATAACATGTTCTGGAAAACCCAACTTTTTACAGTTAAACAATGACTCTAAAATTCTGCCTATTTGGATTAAAATCCAAACACTGAGAAACAACCTCAAGTGGCTTAGTGACAAGACTCTGCCTTTCACTCCACTTCCGTAATTCTCGTAACACACCTTTATTGATGGACCACCATAAGCTATTTTTGGATTTTTATTGTGCTATGAACATGAACTTGTAATACTTTCTCCCATAACATTCATTTGGAAAAGGCTTTTATTTATTCAATGTACAACTTAAGGCTGGGTCACATGTAACTTTACCAAGAAGCATACACAAGAGTTTTTGGAGAACTAATTTCCATATATACATACACACACACACACACACACACACATATATATACATACACACACACACATACATATATATGCATTTCTAAAACTGACCTGAGAGGGTGAGGTACATCTTTCTCTACCTTCATCATTTCCTTTAACAAAGAAAAAAAAAGGCATTCTCCATTTCCCAACTATATACCTTACACTGACTCAAGGTATAAAAACTCCTAGGTATCAATTAAATATTTTTAAGTAAAACCAAAAGCCTTCTGGTATCCCACCTGAGATAACTGGATCATTTATTTAAGAATAGCACCACAAACACCCAAATCCACCTTTAAAACATGTAATTTCAATAAAAGTTACTTTTTAATAATTATTCATCAAAACTGATCATATATTGTTTTTATCAATCACATACTAAAAACTGTAATGAAAATTAAACCCAGGAGAAACATTTAACATTAAAGCATTATGATAACAGAAAACAGCAATTTAAATGTACTTTTGGACACAGAAGGACAAGACAGGATTATCAGTAAAAGGACTTTTCAAGTATACAACAACTTATATTAGGTTAAGTTCTGTAGGAGAAATACAGTAGAAATAACTTCAAGAGAAAAAAGCAACTGCATAGAATATTCTGCAGTTAAGGAAGAGTTTATTCATATTTTTAAACAGATGATGTGATTATTAAATCAGTATTCATTCTACCAGATAAATTTAGAAGAGTTAGTATTTTTAAGATGTCAGTACTCACAATATAGCCACAAATCATGTTCTTAGCATCTATTTAAACTTGTGATAAAAATTCCAATTCCTCTTTTAAAACAATGGGGCTACTCCTGTAGGTCACACAGAAGGTTCAGAAGGCAAATTATGTTTGGTTTTGGGAATTTGCATTTCAGGTGCTCACAGGAGCCACAAAGTGGGGGGGCACAACCCATACAGCTTTTTTAGAAATGAATCTAAAATATAGGTAGGAGATTAAAGGTTATACGTACTAGTTTAAGAAGTCCTAGTTATGGCTGTGATTACCTATGGCAATAGGCAAAAGGGGCCAAGGATGGAACACTAACATTTAAGGATAAGGAGAAGGTAACTGAATATTTAAATGGGCAACACATAATGAGTGAATTTTAGTGCTTACCACATTAACAATGAATGAGTACTCGTGAATAGGAGAGGAAGGAGAAAAAGTAGACAGATGTATTGGAGAATTAGGAGAAAATCTGTCACAAAATAGAGGCTCAATAGTTTGCCCCAGGTCACACGAAAAGTAAGGAGTGGAGTTGTAATTAAAACCCAGGCAGTTAACTCCAAAGACAATCGCATTCTTAACCACCGTGCTGCACAGCCCTCCGAGACACAGAGGACAGAGAGGTGTTCAGCAAGTTCCTAGGAGAGACAGAGAGAGAAGGATTTAGAGTGCAACCACAAAGGTTAGCTCAGAGGCAAGAGGGAAAGCAGGATAGTTTTAGATCTGGAGCAGGAAGTGCAGGCAATCACTCTTCAGTCTTATCAACATCCATTTTGAGACCCATTCCTTAAATAAAAAGTTCCTTTCTCAGTCTTTCCTTTATCTTTGTCTTTTCCACATGGTTACCATGGGCAGGGGGACCTCTGGGTATTGCACACTTCTAAAAAAAATGAGATTTCATTTCCGTCCCGGGTTAGTCTATAGAGAGTTAACCCCTATTTCAGAAAAGTATCAAAAATTTCAGGTCGATGATACCCAAACCTAAGCTCAAATCTCCTTGTGCCAGTGATTTAACTCTTATAACCTAGAGAACTGCAGAAAATGAGCTGGATTTCTACAGGCGGACACGGGAATAGGGACAACTTAACGCTGCTAAAAAGAAAAACAAAACGTTTTGATTTCATTTCTGAAAATATTTCTTTCCGGACATCCAACAAATCTAGAATAATATACTTCAACCTATTAACCGCGGCCGTCCCCGGGGGACGTGGTTATGGGCATCTTGGACGCTACAGTTCGGAATTTTTATGGCTGTGTGGAAAGGGGGGGAGGTTGCATTTCGACCCGGCGGAGAGCAGATGTCCTGTCCTCTCTGCCCGATCGAGGTCCTCCGCAGCGCTCACGTCCGCTGCGATCACAAATAGTGGGGTTCTCTAGGGTTCTACCACGAACTAACGGGCTAACTAATGGATCCGAGCCTGGACGGTCTCACGGAGCTGCTGAGAGAACACATGGCATGCCTTTCCCAGTTAACGCGCAATATAGACGTAAGCCATAAGGGCCGGCCTCCGTCCCTCCTTCCCTCGGCCTACACCACGATGCAAAACGCCCGTTCGCGACCAAAAATGTCCTGCAGGAACGCACGCCCCGCTTTCTTCGGCACTCCTCGCGAACACCAACCCCGTCCCGCCGTGGGAGAACTCGGAAGCGGGGACCTAGGGCTGGAGTCGGCCCCGATCCAAGGCGGCGTGTGTTTGGGGGGAGGAATCCCGCCAGCGAGCAGCAGCGGTTGAAGACCGTTACTCACCATTCCTCAGAACGCCAAGCTGGGGCTGGCGGAGCACCGAATTGAAGAGCATGAGGGCCGAAGGAAGAGACTCAAGTGAGAGAAAAGCCGTGAAAACGCCCCCCCAAGCCCCGCAGAAGCCGTAGCTTGCGCCCCTCGCAACGCGACTCGTTTTTGCCTCCAACTCCCGCCACTGGGAGCCCCGGCCGCCAAACTCCGCGCCAAACTGACGTCACACGCTCTGATTGGCTCCCGGGGCGGCGTCCGGCCGTCTCAGAGTCACTTCCCCCTTGGAATCCCCGCCTCCTTTTCTCCCAGCCGCGGGAACCTAGGGTTCGGGAGCTCCCTGAGCGCCTGCGCGGGGGGCCGCAGAGGCGCCGGCGAACCGTGGGGTGACCGGGGCGCATGCGTGGCACGGCTTGACAGAGCGCGGAGGAAAAATCCGCGAGAAGGCGGCAGGAGAAGATGGCGGTGCTGGGGCAGAGTTTGTGATCTGTCTGACTGGGCTAGTCGAGTAACTATTCGAGTCATGGCGTCAAACTCAACTAAGTCATTCCTGGCAGATGCCGGCTATGGCGAACAGGAACTGGATGCTAACTCTGCTCTTATGGAATTGGACAAAGGTATTCGAAAGAGCGGGCTGAGCGGGGGACCGGGCGTGGGGGAAGTGGCGCCGCCAGGTGGTGGCAGCCTCTGGAGGGGCTGGGAAGGCGCATGCGCGCAGCCTCGCTGGGCGGGCGGCGCCTAAGCTTTTCTGGGGCCAGGGCTTTGGCCGTCTCCGGATCCTGCAGGAGAACTGCAGGGTCGCCTGATGGACTTTGCGTCCGCTGAACCAGCAGCGAGCTCTAGTGGGGGTCCCGTTTTGACCGCTTGAGGGCACAGTCCCCCGATTTTCCAAACAGCGAAAGTGGCTAGTTCCTAAAAACACCAGGTTGAAATTGTGAAAATATTCTTGAGTGCTTGCAGTTGCGACCAGGTCTTCATCACGACTTTGGCACTGACTTTGTAGCTCTTTGATTTCCGCAGCTCTGTGGCCTGCGGGTTACAAGATAGGTTAAAAATGACCAAGATCACCCGAAAAGCATGGCCTGTGCTCATTCCCTGGACACAAGTTGCATGAGTTCGGTTTCCTTACAGGGGGCAGCTTGGCGTAGTAGAAGGAACTTTGGGGTTCTACTGAGTTGAATTTCAGTTCTGCTCATTTTGGGATCTTGGACGAGTCACCTAACTGCACCTAGCCTCGACTTACTGTCTGCAAAGTGGGTCCAGTGCCACTGAGCTGGAGAGATTTGTAATTATTAAGTGATATAATTGTATGCAAAAGAAGCATTTATTAAATGCTGAAGAGGTACGCTTTTCTGTATAGATGTGAATATAGGAGGCAAGGCGAATGTTTGTTAGTGAAGAACTCGAGTATGAACATGGACCCTATGATTCAGTATACTTCAAGGACTTCTGTTGCATAGGGGAAGTATTTTATCAGCTGATGTACACTTAATATTGGATTATGTGTAGCCCGTGTATTATCATAGAACTGGACTGGAAGTCAGAAGGATCCTTTTTTTTTTCCCTAAGATTTATTTATTTAATTGAAAGAGTTACACAGAGAGAGGAGAGGCCAAGAGAGAGAAAAGTCTTCCATCCGATGGTTCACTCCCCAACTGGCCACAACGGGCAGAGCTGCACCACTCCGAAGCCAGGAGCCAGGAGCCTCTTCCGGGTGTTCTATGCGGATGCAGGGGCCCGAGGACTTGGGCCATCTTCTTACTGCTTTCCCAGGCCATAGCAGAGAGCTGGATGGGAAGAGGAGCAGCCGGGTCTCAAACCGGTGCCCATATGGGATGCCAGCGCTTCAGGCCAGAGCCTTAACCCTCTGCACCACAGCACTGGCCCCAGAAGGATCCCTTTAAGTCCATCTGAAGCCCCTTCCAAGCTCTCTTGATGGTTGCCTAGTGACTTTTTGAGGCCCCTCCCTTTTTTAAACTGAAGATGTTCTCTAGCACATCTGTCCAACTGGTCTACATCGCTGGCTCCTCTTTTTTTATTTGAAATTGAATCTTGATAATCCTTTTAAGACATCTTTCTCTCTCTCTTTTTTTTTTTTTTAAGATTTATTTATTTATTTGAAAGGCAGAGCTAACAGGCAGACGGACGGAAGGACAGAGGGAGGTCTTCCATCCACTAATTCACTCCCTAAATGGCTGCAACAACTGGGGCTGGACCAGGCCAAAGCCAGGAGCCCAGAGCTGCTTCTGGGCTTCCCATGTGGGAGCAGGGGCCTAAGGACTTGGGCCATCTTCTGTTTTCCTGGGCACATTAGCAGAGAGCTAGATCAGAAGTGGACTCAAACCAGTGCCATATGGGATGCCAGCACGGCAGGCGACAGCTTTATCCACTATGCCACAGTGCCCGTCCCACAAATTGTTTTTGATCTCTGTGGGACTAAATGGATGCTATTTTAAAGCTGACTTAATTTCATTCCTTCAGGATGTAGTTGGTAACACAGGAAAAGAATCATTCATGTAACAGCTTTTCTTTCATTCAACAAATATTTACTGACCACCTACATTGTGTTAGGCATTGTACTCAGAGTTTGGGCTGTATCAGTGCGCAAGACAACTTTAAGGAGCTCACATTTCAGGGCCGGTGTTGTGACGTGGCTGCTTGGGCCACTGCTTGCTGTTCTGGCGTTCCATATCTGGAGTACTGATTTGAGTCCCCCACTGCTCTGCTTCCAGTCCGTCTCCCTGCTGATGCACCTGAGAAGGCAGCCAGTGATGGCCCGAGTACTTAGGCCCCTGCTACCCACGTGGGAGACCCAGATGGAGTTCTAAGCTCCTGGCTTCAGCCTGACCCAGACCTGGTGTTATAACCATTTGGGGAGTAAACCTAGGAAGATCTGTCTCTTGCTCCTTCTCTGTCACTCTACCTTTCAAATAAATAGCTCTTAAAAAAAAAAAAAGGAACTCAAATTCAGATGTGGGAGACAGAGCTAGGTCAAACATGACCTTGGTCAGGACAAGAAGTGCAGTGGGAGGACATTGAAAATTACAAGCTGATAGCCTTGCCCACTAAACTTTGTGAAAACCAAGCATATAAGCAAACAACACTAGTATGATCAAATACAAGTTACATTTACCTGACACATTTCAGAATGGAGATAATTGTTGGTACCCACTGCAGGCATTATAAAGGACATGTCTCAAACTTTCTCACTAATGTAACTTTTTAGTCAAAGCATTTTTGTCCTGATTTGAGAAAACTTAGGCAAGATCTCTTTCACCCTGGGGAAGAGGAATCTCTGAAATGATATCACCCAGCTTATCTGCTTTCTGCAAGGGTTTCCTTGGAATGTTCAAGTGACCCCAATGGAGAAGAGAGTCGTGACTCTTACTGCCTTTATCGCAGCTGGTGCAGGGCCAGCAGAGTTGCCACTAGAGCTCCTGTCAAACTCAGTGCTCCATAGAAAGCTCAATGGTATGCTTATGGAAATTTTGAGATAGAAAGGTGATACAAGTCATTATGCCATCACCTCACCTGTTTTCTAGGACAGCTAAATTGTCTGTGCAGAAGACCACACATTGCTATTACAGTATCCACATTGGCAGAAATGCAGTTGGTTATGATAAACAAAGGTGGGGCTTTTCTGGAAGTATCACCATAAAACCTCTTGAAGAGAATGACCAATTCCATGCTGTGTAACGGATTCAGGAGTGGGCATTTGACACTCACTGAATCTAATTCTTTCTATTGAAAATCACTACTACCAAACCAAACTTAGTTCTTGACAGTGTTGAGAAGTAGCCCTGTAGAATAATGTAGAATTGAAGCCAAAGTCAGACTTTTTGCAATTTAAAGCTACATAAAAACTGTGTTAGAAAGAGCACCAAGTATGGTTGGTGATCTCTTTTTGGACCATGAACTGATCCAAAAATTCCCTGGCCTTTCTTCAGTCTTAGAAAACAGTACTTACTCTTATGTATGGCTAAGATCTACTATTGTAATTTATAAAGCAAGCCATTAAATATTCCTACAAGTTGGTATTCATAAACTAAAATCACTTGGTTTAGGATTCTAAATCAGTATTCTATCTGCCTACACATTGCATACAGTATTATGTGCCTCTTACCATGTATATTTACAGACAACTCCTGAAATTGGTAGGAAGGATGCCCTTTTATTAGTGCCTTATTAGTTGCTTTAACTGTCATTTTAGTTCCTATTTCTGCTCTTAAAGTATGAATTAAGGCTGTGCAATTACCAATTTTTAGGCAGTAGATAGTTACTTTATAATAATTTTGAGATTGTTTTGTGTGATTAAAACAAGGAGGTGATCAAAAAGTCTAATCGCTCACTTGGTAGGAAGCAGACCTCTATGTAGTCAAAGTTTGAGTTGTAACTGAGTGAGAGGTTCTTGGAGAGATGGTTTAATCAACATAGCAGAGATCCAGAGTGCTAACAGGCAGTGCCAGTGTTGGCTGGAGAGGATCCAGAGAATAGTTTGAAGGCTACCAGAGAGTAGCCATGCTGCAGCCTAAGCCCCTCAGTTTTGAAATCTTAGGATTATATGTTGTGTTTTGGAGCCCAGTAGTGGACCACATATACTTAATTACTGAGTTATAGAGTTTATTAAGTGGGTAGTCTTGCATCTGGCTTCTTTCACTCAGCATCATGATTTTGAGGTAGTTTTATGTGGTTAAAATAAGGAGAAAATCAATGTATGGTTTCACAAATCGCTAAATTGGACCTCACCACGTGTTCACTGTGAGATTTGTTCTCATATGCTCTCCATATGTAAACATTGTGGACAAGGAGGGAAAATTTCTTGATCCTCTTATTTTAACCACAGGTGTCATATTAAGTCATAGTTCTGATGAGGTATCGTGTAGCATTCTGGTGGCTGGGGATCACACTCCATGTTCTTACCTCACTCACAAAAAAATATGTAAATATTGGGATGATCAAAGTTACATCACAGGGAGCCACCTCTGTTGTCACATGAATCAGTATTGGTTTCCTTTTAATTGCTGAGTAGTGGTTCATTGTATGAATATATTACATTTTGTTTATCCATTCATGAATATGAACATTTGAGTTGTATCTAGTTTGGGTCTATTTTGAACAAAGCTGTCTGTGCATTGGCCTATAGGTCTTTAATGTATATTTACCTTTATTAAGAAAGAGCTAGAGTGTTTTTCCAAAGAACCATATAAT